CACAGCAGCATACATACTAAGTTAATGTCATGGAAATCAGTAACAATTTGTTCTTCTATACCAAATTTGGTGCAAGTGTGTGTATATTTCAAAATTTGGAAACTGCAGTTGTATTCTTATGAAGAAAGACTTCAACAATGATCACCTTCAGGTATCACAGTAGGTTAAAAAAAAAAGTAAAATTTTTAACTGAAAATAATTATCTGCACAACTCATCAGCCTTCCTTTAGAACAAGCCATGATTTAAATATATTATATTGAAACATTTTTCTCAAAGGTAAGCTTCTTCAATTCACAACTCTGCCTATCAGGATAGCAGATGGTCAGGATGATCTGATGCCAAGCAGCCTGTTGGTATAGCACAAACAGCTTTGAAAAAGCTACACAATAAAGCAGCTTTTTAGCAGAGATGACTTTAGAAATAATAATTCCATATAATGACATATTTTCTTTAATAAAGGCAAGTCATTACCCCTTCATATTCACACATAAGGAATTCTGAAGATAGGAAATGTAACCTAGAAAGGCAAAAATAAATTTTACATGCTGCTTAAAAATCGACGTTTAGTAAGTCAATTTCAGCAGTGCTTCAATGAAGAAAATTAAGATCTCTCAACAAAAGCAAAATGCCTTGATGGCATGACAGGAAAACCAACTGTAAGTGAAAAACAGCTACCAACAGTCCCTAATAAATACTATGTTTTATCTTACCATTATTCTTGAAACAAAACAGTAGTAGCAATGTGTGCATATATGGAGGGATGGGTTAAATATATTGTGAAATACTGCAACACAGAGTCAGAAGATAGACTCAGAAGATCTGGTGCTGCTTTTATTATTTCTGGCACAGAAATAATAAAAGTAGTTTAACACTCAAAGCAACATATTAGAGGCAAGACTTCAGTGCAGACTCCAGCTGTGTCTTAGGATTAATTTTTCAGAGGCAGTATTAGTCAGATAAGACAAACAGCAGCACAGCAAGCAAGAGGAGAAAGAACATGGAAGGTTTCTGCACAAAGGTTGAATTTCCCTGGACTAAACAGAAGTCTTGAAGTCCTCTTCAGCACTGTCTCCAATGACAGGCTTTGCATGCAGCTGTGATTTGAGATGGCTTGGCTTAGATAAACAAACCTATTCACTCTGTGTGAATAAAGTTCTATTTAATATACATTAATTTGAGCTTAGAGCATTTCCTTTTTGTCCATTATACATACGCAATAGCTGTAATCTTTTCTGCAGATTCTAATCTGAGAGAGAAAAACTGCTTCTTTCGACAATGCCTAAGCCTCAAATTTACTTCAATGCAATAGAACCTTAAATCTTATAGATTTAATAGAATAAATAGAAGCTTAAAGCAGTCTAGTTACACCAATACGAAAAAAAATGAGTCTGCCCTCGTTTTCAGCAGTTTACTTATGAGCACTGTATGTTCTAATTTTTAGTTTTATTTATTTTTTCAGTCACAGCCTGTAAATTATCGCTCAAATTTTACTTAGAAGGTAGAATATTCACTCACAGTACATTTAAAAACAATCACTATTTTCTTCAGAGAAAGAATATGATAAATAATAAGATATCCTTTCCCTCATCTCCAGCATGGTTATTTGAATTATATAACAGGAAACAGTTCTAGGTGTTGAAATGTTGATACAGCACAACGTATTGTGAAATGTGAAAGAAACAAAGAAACAACTGAATATTAATAATTGATATGTTTTAGGTGTCTGAACCAAGAACTGTTCCCCATAATTTTTCTAAATTGTGTACTTGTTTCTAGAAGCAATACAGAACATGACTGATTCCCTTCAATTATTGAACACATTCAAGAAGAAAATTGGTCAGGAAAATACTTTTGCTTGGTACTATCAGGAGGAGAAAAGACTTATTGGGAAACCGGAGCACTGTTATCTTCTATAAATCCAATATCTCCCAAGATTCCAAACGTGATTTAATCTACTAAGTACACAACAAATCTCATCAAACAAGTTCTATCAATACATTTGTCCCAGTAAGCAAATAGATGAATTTGAAGGCAACTCAGTCTTGGGATAAGTGTTGCTTTGATGAAAAAATCCTAAGATATTATCTAGAGTCTGAACTGAAACAAGCAGAAACTATCTCCCATTTCCCAAGTCCCTGAAATGCCCATGGTAGCTACTGATTAAGATTAAGGAGCCATATGATTTTAACAAAGATTCAAGGTCCAGCTCAGGTAACAATAAAGGGATTTAATAGCAGCATCTTGTAGTTGCTTGCTAGTAATTTTCCACAGTTCTTTCAGACGTTTCCTCCCATCGAAGACATTCATCATTTATACTCAGTATTAACTACCACCACTGCAGACTAGGCAGCAAAAAAAAAAAAAAAAAGAGTCCTCTGAAGTCAGTATAAAAGCAGGGCTATGAGAATCTACTTTTGGCCCTCTTCTACAAAAACAGATTTGCAATTTCAATATTTTTCCAAAGCATGTCTTGATTACGTCAGTTCAAGTCTACTAAAGACCAGTCTGACACAAACAGGCGAGTTAGCTTTAAAAGTTTTATCAGTACACTGCAAGCTGTTTTTAAGTTAATAGCTAAATTATCCTGAAGCACAGCAGAAGAGTAGGACAAATGTTTGTCCATACATAATACCAAAGATAGGCAAGTCAAATGCTTTTCTTGCAAAGCAGATATAGAATCTGGTCTACCAGCTATTTCATGGAAGCATTCAGAGAAAAATATTTTTCTACACAAAATTAATTTTACCTTACATCTTTGAACAAAAGAAGCAAGGCAAATAATGACAAGTGTAAGAATATAAATAATAAGTGCAATGTGGACTAATACAAACTGTTGAAAACCTCAGTATAGATTTAAACATTCTTTTATTTGTGTGGTACTGTAATGTTTTACCTCAGTTGTTGAAGTACTAACTACTATTTTACTACACAAACATCTAACAGTTAATGTAATAAAGGATCGTTCATTCTATACACAATATTCTCCATCCTAAACATGCTTTCAATTTAAATTAACCACATTTATGTAAGTATTTTTCAATTACATGCACAAAATCCAATACTATAAACATACCAAAGAAACAAGGACTACTTTGGGAATAACTCACAGAAAATTAGGTTTATCTGAGGTATAACCATAATCTCTACAATGAGTGATGTAACTCAGATACAGCGGAATAAATCAGTGCCCAGAAAATAAATAAGCTATTTTCACACTCAGAACACCTTATCTCCTCTGACAGAAACACCATAAAAACCAGGCCTTCCCACTCAACCCTCAGTAGGCATTGGAAAAGTAAAACAGAAAGGAGAAAAACTGCAGGAGAAGATAAAAACAAGAATGATGAAGTCTGGACATAATCTACCAGTCACAGTAGATAGGGTAGCAACTTGTTTTTCTGTCAACAGTTTCTACATTCACCATCTTCTCATATGTTCTACTCCACATTAATTTTATTTGCTTAATTACTTCCGCAAGGACATAAATTGTCTGTAAATGTTAAAACACAGGAAGGACACAACTTCATATCTGTGGTTACTCAACATCTTGAGGCAACACATATTATTTCAGCTGTTAGGGACACTACTAGCACAATGGTTCATCTGACTTGCAGGAAGAAAAACAGAAAAATGCTTTTGACGACCCAGAGACAAACTCCAAATATGCACATAGCACATTAAATTTTCATTCCCCCCACCCTCCTCCATAGAAACCTCAATGCTATAATGTAGTAACAAAAACTGTTTTCTTCATGTTCGAAGACAACTTTATGTCCAGGGTTTAAAGCTACAGCTACGTAGCTGAATGCTATCAAAGAGATAAGCAATTCTTATCATAAGCAATATCCTATGCTTCTCAAAATACATCATATATATAGGTTACAAGGAAGGGATCATCAGAAGCTATTTTTCTTTTGTAATAATATAAAGGAACTTGCATTTTAATACACAGTATTCTCCCCAGATGAAAGTTTCAAAGTAGCTCTATTTTCTGTTTAAAATTTGACTGATCAATGATCTTTATTATTTCTGAAGTTAGTATTATGCTAATATGAAGTTACTCATTGAGAAATACCTCTGTAAGTAAGAGGAAAGCCACATAATAAATATATAAACAAAGAAATAATCAGTGCAGAAAGACAAGAGCTTCAGGTCCTGGAAGCAAACATAGCAGTGGTTAGACAGTTGGTCATTAAGGATTAGAACAAAGCACCTGAAAGCAAAAAGCAGAGACTGCCCTCAGAGTGGCAATCTACAGTTCCTCAGAGTAAGAAAAAGATAGATGACCACTGGTATCATTATGTTTCCATGTTTTATCTAAGGCAGTAATTCTTTCAACTCAGTTGGAGCTGATAATGTAGAAAACAAATGAACTCTTAAGAGCCCAATGAAGATTCCCTAAGAGAAAAAAAGTTTATAAAGTTTATAATAGGTGGGAAAGGGTTGCAAAACTTACTGGGTGATGGGATATTACAGATACAAAAAGGCTTGCCATCTCTGACTTCACTGAGAATTTTTGTTCAGGGATGAAGGATTGGTTTTTCATAGAATCATTAAGGTTGGAAAAGACCTCTAGGATCATCCAGTCCAACTGTCCAGCTACCACCAAAATATTGCCCTCTAACCATGGCCCTCAGTGACGCATCTCCACGTTTCTTGAACAGCTCCTGGGATGGTGACTCCAGCACCTCCCTGGCAGCTCGTGCCAACACTCAACCACTCTTGCAGAGAAGTTTTCCCTGATACCCAACCTGAATCCCCCCTGGTGCAACTTGAGGCCACTTCCTCTCATCATATCAAATAACAGTGAGAACTTGTCATTCTGAATCACAGCACATTTTGTATCACATTTGCACTTGTAACAATTTGTCAAAATAAATCTTACGCAAACAAAACACTGTTTGAACTCAATATTAAAAACTTATGATCACTGTTTTATATGAAAGTTGCTTGGTTTTTCAAGAAAAATGAGCAATGAATTGTTTGCAGAAGCCCTTACCTCCTCTGTGGACTGTGGTTCTGAGAGAACTCTGAATCACTGTCTTTGGATGTTGGAGAGCCCTTATATGTATAAAAAACATCTTCTGTCTCAGTAATATAAGAAATCTCATTTGTAAGGTTATCTACAGATGAATGTCGTGCCTTACGAATTTCATGACGCAGTCTAGGACTCCGCCTTAAAAAAGGGAACATGAAGACAAGTTAGTAGGTTGTAATCATTTGTAGAACATTCTGAGGAATTATTTCTATTCTACTGCAATCTGTGCCCTGAAGTCTTCTTGTCAGGTTTATGGGTCTCACTTTAAACAACAGATAAAACAGTTTAAATAATGAGTTTTATAAAATTTGGTACGGCACAAGGTGATCGTATACTTCCACATATATAGCACAGAACTGACTGTCCATCCCATTGTGCTACCTGTACTTGTTAAAGTTATATTAATAGACTTACAAAATGACTTGGACTAAAGGAGACCTTAAAGACCATTTATTTCCAGCACACTGGCAACTGGAAAACCTCTTCTCCAGGCTATAGAATGGCAGTTGCTTCAGTCTCTCTCACAGCAGGACACATTCCATGATAGACCCTTGCAGTACTCACCACTCACCACTTCTCTCCAAGTAGAGTAAAATTTATTAGCATCTACCCCTCAAAGACCAGCAGTTAGCCATCCATCTCATGTTACTATCCACCTATCCAGAACATGATATCATATTTTGGATATAATGTACAGACAGTTTTAAAAGCCTTGCTAAAGTTAAGGTAAATTACACTCATTCTTTCCCTGCCATTATGTATACTCTCAAAATAACAGCATATATGTAGACACTACATATCTAGTCTGCTAGAAGACATGCAAGGTAGAAGGCTGGAAGGTAGGGATAACGATGAAATTTATTTTACCAATTAGGGGTAACAGGAGGTGATCGAGAAGGAAGGCTTTTGGTCTCCAGATGCTCAACAGATAAAGATCTCCTCATAGATGGGTTCCAAACCATTCCACCTATGACTTTTCTGCAGTACTGACTGTTTACAGACCTGAAAAGAATTAAAAGTGAAAATCTATATGTTAATTGTATTGCATAGAAAAATTCAGTTAAATAAAATATACTTTTTAAAGTACATTACATAATTCACATTTTAAAGAATCACCTGTGCTTACCCCCTCATTATAAAAGAGCCATTTGCTGTCCCTCACTTGTTGCAATAAAACTGTTCAGTTCATCCCTACTTCAATACTAATCAAAAACCTGGGTAAAAATAACTTTTCTGGAAGTTATTTTTAACTTCATTGTGTTCAAGAAGATAGAAAGGAAAACAGGAAATTTGGCATGCTCTGTTGGCACCAAGCCATGTGCCTAAGAAAACATAATTCAAATACAAGTACAAGATTCTAGACGTTTTCTGTTAAAACTTGTGAATTGGTAACAACTCACTATGGCTTAACTGAGCACACAACCATTTTATCTATGTGATGACTCAGCAGATAAAAACTTGTCCTAGTTTCAGCTGGGATGGAATTGTTTTCTTCAGAGCATCTGGTATGATGCTATGTTTTGGTTCTATGAGAAAAACGATGTTAATAACAAACTAATATTTATAGCTGGAGCTGTGTTGCACAGAGTCAAAGTCATTCTCAGGGCTCAAGGAGCTGGGAGAGAACAGGATTAGGACAGCTGACTTGATCTGGCCTTAGGGATATTTCATACCATATGATATCATGCAGAAGGAGTTTTGAAGAGGGTGGAAATTTACCTTGCTCTCTTCTGCTTGCTGGGGGATAACAGAATCACTCAGCAATAGTGAGGAATTACTTGTGCATTACTTGTTATATACATTCACACATAACTATCTTATATAACTTTTACATGGTCATAACTATTATCCTTTTCCTTACCTCTGTCTTACTAAATAACTATTTCAACTCATGAATTCTACTTTTTTTTCTTAATTTATTTTTATTCTCTCCTTCATCCCACTGGGAAATGGGAGGAGAGTAAGGGAAAAACAGCATGGTGCTAAGCCACCTGTCAGATTAAACCACAACAGTCATTTTGCAATGCTGAATTCATCAGTTTATACACTGCTAATTTTTTTATTATATAAGTCAAGGCCACACACTACAGCAAATCAATAACCTCAATCCAACTCCCAAAGAGGACAAACAACATAGCAGAGAAAATATACAGCAAGGAATATGCTACACAATATTCTTCTATGAGAGGACATTCAAAAAGCTCCATAAATAGCGAAAAAACTATCATAGTGACTGGTAATTACCAATCCCTGTGACAAGTCCCACAGTGGACACCAAAATTGGAATAATACTAAACCAGTACCTTTTGAAACTTATTCCTTAAAATTATATGGGCTATGCAATGCCTGTACGTGCATTGTGTATATAAAGATAGGATCTTTTCATCTACTTGCAGTTTTGAAAGAGAGAAAGGTCTCCAGACATAGCGTTCTGGAAAGTGTTAAGAAAGTCGCTTTCTCAATACAAGTTCGTATTGATCCATAAAAGATCTAATCCTCAAAATACACATCTCTAAACACTTAGAAAAGTTCTTTACTTTCATTCAGCTACTTGTTTTTATTCATTTCAGCTATGATCTAGTACTATGCAAAAGTATGGAGATCACACTTCAGTGGAAAATGTAACATTTTATCAGTGTTCTTGTGCCTGGACAATTCTTTGTGCCTTTACTGGCATCATTTATAGGCTATGCCTAGTCCCTTAGGTATGAATTCTGCAGTACTGAAAGAGACATCAAAACATGAAGAGCCAATTGGCAAAATTCTGGAAATAACTCGAATTATGATAACACAGAATTACAGAATATAATGAGTAAGAAGGGACCTACAAGGATCTAGCCCAACTCCTGACATCATTCAGAAGTTGAATCTGGGTCCAAGTAGGAAAAAGAGAAGTTAAACAAGGAACAACTCAACAATTAAGGGGAAACACTGCAAAAGTAAAGAAAAGAGAAAGTAAGCAAGAAAATATTCTCCCAATAACCATCAGAAAAAGCAGTTTACTGGTAAGTCTATGGAGATTACAGATAATCAAAGGACTAAAGAATTCTCTGAAGTCTCATATTTTGAGAAGACAACGACGTAAGACTTACAGCCCAAATGGTGCATATGGAATGGGTACATCCCAACTTCATATAGCAAAATAACAAGCTCTGAACTACATTTTAGATACCACTGTGAAGCTACCAGCTCAATGACAGCAGAAGCCAACAAAGGAAATAAAAGATGAGAAGTGTCATGACAGTGGAATCTTAAATGGTTGGATGGGGAAATTTTTTCATCCCTATGTAACTAATTGAGATCTTTATGCACTCCAGAAATTGCCCTAACATATTAAACAGTGTTTATATAACAGTAAGGAGTAAACAATTCAAAACAAATCTGTTCAGCAAATTCTCTTACTGGATCATTACACACATAACATTTTAACTTTGTATTGTTGCTACACCTTATGCTGAAAAAGCAAGTTGAGACGATAACAGTAAAACAGACTCAATAACTTTTTATGAGCATTATATTGTAATGACATCATTGTGCAAAAAAAAGGAAAACAAAGTTAGACAATTTGTCCAACGGTTCACAAAGACTGACGATCACAAGCAGAACTGAGCTCTGCAACTTCAAATTCAGCTGTCACTGACAAATCCTTCTTTCAGCATTTACAATGGGAAACACACTTTCACGCAATACTTACTTTGCTGGATTTCTAGAACCTAGGGTCCAATAATGTGATAATATTTTTTTTTCATGAGGTAGTGACTTCTTTGCCTGAAAAAACGTGTGATGCTCTACACAAGACTTCCACAGATTTTTGCATGCTCTGTAATTTAACATGTTGAAGGCAACAATATGCTCTCTGGATTCATTCTGCAACAGTAAGAAAACGTATGTTTCAACATATACAAGCTGATAAAACAGAGCAAATGAGGTTATAAAGCTACCATATAAATAACAATGAAATTACTTTTATCCTAAATAAGCAAATCAAATTCAGGAAAATAAAAATTAATCACATAGTAGATTTTAATCTGGAGATGGATGAAACGGCATGGTGACTATATGAAATTCAAATGCCAAAACAAACCTTTTAAAAGTGTAAGCAATATTAAAAATTATTAATAAACTTACCAGTTTGTAATCATTACACTGCTAATTTAATGCAATGTTTAAGTCTATAGTGTCAAACATATTTTATATACAAGTATAACACAAAACAGCTAAACAGATTATTAGATTTCCTGTCAGATTGTGATCTTCCCAAAACTCTTTACCATTGTATTAAGGTTGTAATGCAGAAGGGAAGAATCTATCTTCAAATTCAAACTCTTCATATAAGACTTCACATATATACATATTTTCCTTCAAGAGCTATAGCATACAAAATCATCTGTTTGATATTCTCTGAGAAGATAGCCAAGACTTTTAAGTGTTCCACTTTGGGAAAATGAAAGAATCCACGATGGACTAAAGCTGCCGCTTTTCGTATCCAATCCTGCTTTCTGGATTACACCATAAAGCCAAAATAATGAGACCGAAAGGAAGCAGATTATGAAGTTTCTGCTGTGCAGATTCTCACTCGCAACTTCAGTGCTCAGTGGAACATAGGTATGACACAACTGCACCACCAAAATTCGTGTCCTGAAGAACTGTAGCACTTGTTGAGCCACTTCAGGTTCCAATCCTCAAGAAAGTTTTGCACAAGATACATCTTGGGTTAGTTACTGAGGTTATCAAACATAAATAACAAAGCAGAACAAAGAGTAAAGCAAAGAAGAGAAAGGTATGTGTCATAAACAAGCTTAACGCCTATCAGAATTCAGCATCTTTGTAGAAAAAGAAAAAAAAGCAAGTGCACAATTTGATCGCTCATCTTTTTCAAGTATTTTTTTCTGAACTTTGTCACTGCAGCATATAATTAGCCAACAAAGCTCTCTTTCTAGTTCATACTTCTGAGAAAGTAAGGATTTGAGTAGCAAAGCCGATTTATTAAATGATTCAAAGACCTAACAAAACTTCCTACTACAGTCTAGCAATAAATCCCATGGATGACACCTGGACTTCTAGCTGCAGGGTTCTTTTGTTTGTTCACAGCAACAGATCAGTTTAGAAGTACATATAGACAATTCTGGGCAGAATAATCAAGCTAGTTTTCTTGCATTCTTTTTCTTTCTGTGCAACATTCTAAAAATGTCATGCATCAGAAAACTATGCTGCATTCTGCGAAGTACTTGAACTAGTGCTGAATGACTTCATTTAGAGATTCTCTATAGTGGAAACCACAATGAGAATCTCTAGGGGAAGCTAAAAATGACCTGCCCCTTTGCCATCTTTGGCATTGCTAGGCATTCAAATGATTGTAATCTTTATATTTCCTGTATCTATTACAAAATGGAAAAAAAAACCCAAGTTTTTTGTAGGATTAGTTTGTTCACCCTGTATGGGTATTGCTAGGTCACAGCCCAAACCAGTGGCTGAGCACGAGGTGAAAAGATGTGGCTAACCCAGAGAGCTCAGGTGCAAGGAATGCACCTGAGTGACAGAGAGGGGTCGACCCTCCTCACCTTAATTTAAGGATTAGCAGCCAAGTGAGCAGGATCTCTATTCAGAAATTGTGCCCTTCTTCAGACTCCACCAGCTTTTTGGGAAGAGTAAGCCAGTTTTCTCTGTATCACTTTCTGAACTGAATCCTTATGAATACCTTTACGAGCGTGCTCCTATCCTCATAGAAGGTACTATCACCACCTTCCATTGCAGCACACTCTCAATGTACTGGAACCAATTCATCTTCATCAGCTCACCATAGTTACTTCTAATTAGCTTATATAAAATAATATGTTCAAGCCCTGTGAAATTTTAACTCAGAATTCTTGTGAGATAACAAGCATACAGCACTTGAACTCCTAATGAGTAACAGCATTTCTGACCTACTCTCTGTTGGCTGAATACCACTTCATGCGTTTTATACTACTCCAGAGAACAATTTAAAGGATATTTCAGATATTTCTGTTGGCCTGGAGCACTGGTCTTTTAATAGGCATAAAAATCTGTTTATCTGAACGTCTCAGTTATGTACTGAAAAGTGTAAAGATAAGGACTTAAGTACACCTAATATTTCATTTTTTTAAATTGAAATTTAAAAAAAAAAAACAATTTGGTCACAATTAAATTTCTGTCAACTGCTGACACAATCTTAAGTACTTTTACATAGGCTGAAAATTTAAATATGGACATACACTAAGATAAGTATCTTAAAGAAATTTTAGAAACATCTGTTCAATTTTTACATTAAGAAAATCTTTTGTTAACTAGGTCTTCTGGCTCACTAACAGGCCATCTTTTAAGTCACACCACAAAATTCTATGTACCATTTCCAAAGCTGAAGAGTATTCTAGTAGGATCCAAAGATTTAGTACTTACCATCATTCTCAAGTGAAGTTCTGAAAGAACAGTATTCTAGTCATTTTTCAAGAAGTGAGGATTGGAGAAGTGTGCCACCATTAAACTAATGGGAAGAACTCTTAACAGCTAAAATAAGCGTCTTACTAGTTTAACATAAGGGGAGAACTCTCATCAGCTGTATGCCATCACAGAGAATTTGGGCACGTCTACAGCATAGGAGGTAAAAACATACACTAAAATGCAGAAAAAGAACAGCTGTTCTCAAGCATTACATAAGCACACAGGTTCTATTTTGGAAGCTTCAAAAAGTTGCCTGTAAATTAGCATAGCTTCTATTCCTATTATAAATCTTATACCCTTCATTAAGTCTAAGTAACGTGGGCTTTTAAAACATCAGACATCTAGTAGTTCATTAGTCTTGCTTTCCAGTACTTCTGTAGCTTTTTAGTAAAAACAGAAATACTGCCTACTTCTTTCAAATAGCAGATCAATAGACTGAAGCGGTGGGATGATAGAAGTGCAGATGAATAACAGAAAAAGCGAGACAAAGTACATTGATTTTTCAAAACAGTGGCATAAGGAAAAAAAGGAGCAGGAGAATAAATCAAGGAAACAGAACGTATCCTAGATGACCACAAATTCACAGTCTTTAAGAAATGATGTAGATTTTATAGAAAATCTACGTATGACATGCAAAATTCTGAAGTGTTTTTGTTGCCATCTTTTATAAAAAATTGCCTACTAACACACAGCATCCACTCTGCTTTCTTCACGATCTTCCACCTTCCCTACTTACAGCCTTATTAACTTGTTTTCCTCTGTACTTCCAAGCAAAAGACCAACACAACATCAGCCACTGTCAGTCACAAACTATTCAAGCAACCCAGCGTTCAAGAAAAATGCAATAGCAGTCCAGCTGCTCCTCATTCCCACAACAGACTTTTCAAAGCAGCATCATTAGAGTACTGCAAGTATGCAGACTGCTGCCCTACGTTTCAAGCAAAAGGGAGATAAAGGACAAGGGATGACTGTACCTAAAAGTTTAACTTTATCTGGTCTGTTTTTCATACCTACTAAGAAAGAGTAAAAGGTCTTGTAGTCAGACTCACTTTCTCTACAGTTCTGCAGCTCTAAGCATGACACAGCACGCATTAATGTTATCTCATATAGGCCTACAGTTATATAAGAGATTGGTAGAACAAATTAAGGACTTTGAAATGTCATCATTTAATGAAAGTTCAAATGATTAAACTTCAAAAATGCTACTCTTTTCAAAGGTGACACTGGTCTCCAGAAAGAGAACTTCAAGCAGAACTTTTAGCAGTAAAGCCTTAAAACCATTACACAATGATGCTGCATTTCTCCAAATTCTATAAAATTAAGCAGATTTAGTAGATTCATTGCTGTGAGGTACTCCACGGGGTGCAGGGAGCAACAAAGAAAAGAGCAGCAGCTAGTAACAAGTAAAACGCTAAGTTATTAAGCACTGAAGAAAGGATGAACAGCTGTGTTTCCCTGAAATACACAATGGAAAAGATACCAGAGTTAGAAAGATGTAGTCCAACAGACTGAGGGTGGAAAGACTCCAAGTTGGAAAGGAAACAAGAGTGGGAAATGAGTGAGCATAAAAGAACCACAATAGCAAAGGCAAGTTGATAAAAAACAATTTCAAAAGGAAGTTAACATAACAGAGCACCTACAGGTCCAGCCATCTGTTACCTTAAGTTTAAAAGGCAAAAATTTGAATACAATTGCTTAAGAAAAAAGTGAAACGACTACTTACATGTTTTTGCCGTTGTTGTATAAAAAACTTTTTCCTTTTAAAGGAAATTTTTAATATGTTCACCCTACAAGAGAAAGGCAGACCTTGAAACACTAAATAATATTTGAAGGGAAAATAATAATAATACAAAAATAACATGGTGTGCAGCAAGCATAAGAGATTACAGTTGTTAAACATTCAGTGAAAAATATGCAATCATCTCCTGTATGTTGAGTGGCAAATAGACGTTAAGAAACTCAAAAAATTTTAGCTAAGGAGGAAAGGTCTTTTGAAAATTAGGGTTCTTCCTCATTTACTCTTTAAATAGCTCACATAGCACTTCTTTCCCACCAAATCTATTCTTGCAGTAAAAACTTGATGACATCCTTTACCAGCTGCACAAATGTTAAATGTGTCAGGTTTGTATAGCTTAAGAATTATATGACAACTGTGACTAAAAGAACAGAATTTAAGACCTTAATGACGTGACAAGATTGGTTGAACAGTATCTAAAATTGCCCAGAAATTTCACAGAGCATTAAAAGATAATGTACTCCTCTTAACAACAAAAGCATTGTAATCATAGTCAAACTTGACAGATGAAAACTGTAAGAATGAGTGTTAATCTTTTTTTCACATATTATTAACGCTGTAAAAAAATACAACAAACTATGTAGCTGAAATGAACACTTTTCCATACATATGTGGTATGAATAAAGATTTTCTAAGACTAGGATTACACTGGAATTGGCGCTTAAGGATATAATCAAAATGAAAAGTGTTTATCAGTTTTGCTAGATTAAATAAACTTCTAGGTTCCCACATGTTTTCCTACAGCTAAACAAGATTTTTCTGAATTCTTAGTTCTTTTCTACAATACTTTTCTTCAATAATTGAAATCTACATGTTCTGGAAAAAAAATTCACTGTCTGTAATCAGGTGGAACCATATGGATAGAAGAAAGCTATTTCAGGTCTGATCAATGTTTGTGGAAAAAGCAATCTATACCACACAAAAGATTTTCAGAAGGTTGGTACTAAAGGTCTTGAAATATTCTGTTAACTGCTAACATTTACAGCATCTTAGATTTCCAAATACAAAGTATATCAAAGATCATCTCAGTTCTTAACACGGTTTTCACATCACTCAGCAAGTAGAACAGCAGCATATAACCCATTCTCCATTCCTGTGCAGGATGCACTGTCACAGAGCAACTCTCCTTGTTCACAGAGCAGATCATATATGCAAGTTACAAACAATTGAACTGAATGAACAATTCCTACTATTGTATAAAAGGGGTGGAAAACCAAACCTGCACTCTTCCAAAAAAAATATTTTCCTCTATCAATTACAGAACCACAAATGAACAAGAATTTCATTCATAGTATTCCTAGGCAACGAAGTTGTTGTTCAAGGTACTGAAAAATTTAAAATAATATCCACCTTTTTTGTAAGGACAATTCTAGAAATATCTGCTCCACTTGACTTGCTGCCTCAAGTGATAATGATCTGTACTGTATATCTGTAAGCTCTGCATTCCCGTCTTGCCCACAAGTCCTATAAATTTGTAGTAGTACTTACTGAGGTGGGACTCATTACAATCTATCTTAATGTTAGTGCTACTCTGGCTGAAGCAGTACTTTTCTAGTTTCTTTCCTTTCATGTTTCTTTACTTTTGCTTACACTTCAGCGTTTGGAGTTGTTCACGTAGTTGCTGTCACTGCTCTTACACTAATGCGGTGCCAGCAGGAATACAAAATACAAATGAGTGACCTTACAGACTAAGCATAACATCCTCCAGCTAACAACAGAACGGTAGCCAGCATCTTAAAACACCAAGACTCTCTCCATCTCTCCCCACTTCTTTTAAAACAATTTTCTGCATGACCACATAACCACTTCATGTCAAATCAAGTCAATAAGTCTCTTTTATTTCATTGTATATACAACATACCTCTCAATTCCACTCATTCTTAAAGCATAACTAAGCCTATTTAATTCAGTGACAAACAACACTTTCTAATCTGACAGTTTTATGTAACATTAACACAAAATCATTTGCAGCACTACGCCTATTAGTCAAGGCAATGTTCATGTACAGCACAAGTCACATACTAAAGCAAGAGATTAAGGCATTGAAGGATTTAGATTTAACAAGGGTTTGAAGGTGTCACATACAAAATAGGAGCTGAATGGATTGTGGTTATTCTAACAGGTGGCTCAGCTGCCCCTACCACTTACCAATCATCTGTCCAGTGAACATGCAGCTTTCATGAAATATCAAAAATCACCATTTATTTTTAAAATGCTCAATAGCTGAAGCTCAGTGACAATGACACATTTTTGGCTCCTGTCTTTCTACCATTCACAAAGGTCAAAGCAGATTTGTCACTCACTGAACCATAGTTACTCATTTCTGAGCACCATGGAGGTTCTGCTGCTAACAGCTGGTATTTTTTGACCCAAGGAAAAATACTTCTTAAATGTAATTCTTACGGTTTGCCCTAGGAAGATTCAGTAAGAAAGCTCCTGTCAAATGTTATCTATGTAAGATTTAGTTCAGAAGTTTCTTGATTTTAGCTAGCAATGAAGCATATATTCCTTTAGCAATTTCTCTCAAGTTATCGCAGCAAAGAATCCGCATCCAGTGAACAGCATATAATACACTACCTTTGCTGCTGATGTAGAACAGAGACCAGCCTGTATACTTTTGCCTTTAAGATATTTTACCTGCCAAACAAACCTGGAAATGATCACATAATAGTAAAGCACCCCAAGAATAATTTTCTAGAGAATATGAATTTTTGGGTTAAATCCAAAGTTATTTTTAAAACTGCCTTGACTTGTGTTGCCTCTGCCCGAGTGCTCAGCTCCTTACAAACTTTGCTTTCATTGAAAATCCTCCCTTTACCAAGGCAGGGCAATCTATTCACTGCCTCTCTGTTTCCAAACACTTTTGGTTCCCTTTGACTACTACCATACAGCACAGTTGTATTGATATCCATTAATGCTGCAGAGCACTGTGGTGTTGGAATGAGTGCTTTGACGGTGTTTGCTGCCACCTTGAGTTTCATCATGTTTATGATGGAGCCTCCCTGGTTCACAGGAAGAGATGACTTACTATAGGCAGTTACATAAAAAGACTAAATAACAATTCCAATTGTCTGAATAGGTTTTTGCATTCTCAGGTACAGTGTTTCATGAGGAGCCTCCTTCATGCTTTTAACACAACCAACATACATTAAAACTACAGATACTGCCAAAATCTATTCCACTTTGACGTCTAAAAAGAAATTGAAAGTATACACTACAAGTGCATACAATACTAGCTAACATACTTACCTGACTATTTATTTATTTACTTTTTTTTAATGGGTAAGGAGGGATTAGAATGGAAGAAATGGACACAGTTCCTGAATCAATAACTATAACCTACTCTGAAAATACCTAAAGTCATCCCCTATGTAGTGGGATTTATGCCCTTCATTCCTAGCAAACACAACTGAGTAGGAAAGCTTAAAACAATTACAATAGCAGTTAATTGAAACTACTAGCACCCATAATTGCTGTTTCAGGAGAGAAAGTTACTCAAACTGAAAAAATGTTTTTGTTCCCACCCCAATTCTTTCCTTGTTTTGTTTTGTTTTTGTCAGTTACAGTTTTATGTGCAAAATGTTTTAGCAGCTGTGTTTTATTCCTGAAGAGCAAGCAGGAATAAAAGTATGTAGATTGCTTCAAAAGTAACATCTCCTAACATGATAAAATAGGAGACATTATGGTTGAAGAAGTTCTTGAATTATAGGATGTTGTGCATTCCTCTTGCCTTATGTGCTGTAAAGCACTGTTTCCCTTCTATAAAAAATACATACTATTGGATTTTAAGATGTTGTCACTATGGTTTTCAGGTGTTACTATTGCCTGTTCATGCCAAGGGTCACTAAAGTTGGCACAATAAGCCTTGCAAAAGATAGAAAATATGCCTGCAGTTGCAAATTTTTAAAATCTGCAGCTGTTTCAAGAAGCTGGGAGATTGACATATGAAAGGATGGAGCTCAGGGCACAAAGATGAGAGATAAAAGTTTTCTATGCTGTAGTGTGCATTAGAGGAGGAAAAAACCCAAGACACTACTGTGGTATATGAAAGCATTATTCACATGCATTTGTGATGGCTACAGTATATTTAAGTTGAAAGAGAAGTCACTGCAATGAAAAGAAAATCCAGAGACTACATGGTACATTTACCATTCAAATTTAAATGGAAACCTATTTTATTATTTTATCCTAGGAAATACCTATTAGATTATGCTCCTAATGATCTGAGGGAAGAACTTGTGCATTTAAGGAAGATTGCTTATAGGCACTTCTTGCATAATCAAGATGCAAAAAGTCAGTAAACTCACTGAAATGCATTATCCTGTCATGAACACAAGAATAGGCTTCCCAGGGAGGTTATTGAGTCATCATCCCTGGATGTGTTTAAAAACCATTTGGATGTGGTGCTCAGGGACATGATTTAGCAGAGGGTTGTTAGAGTTAGGGTAGTATGGTTAGGTTGTGGTTGGACTTGATGATCTTTTAAGGTCTTTTCCAACCTGAGCAATTCTATGATTCTAACTTAATAGTTTTACTGAAAATTTTCTCCAGAAAAACTGTTACAAATTATGTGAAGAAATTATGTATAACATGATAAAACTGTACTTTCTAATCTAATTACACTTATTTTAAAGAAGAGGGAAACGTTCTTTTCTTTCTAATCCAATCAAAAAAACCTAAGGAAAAGCCAAACAACTATATCACTTGCCATTCACTTAACAGGTCTTACTATAATATAAATAAACTACATAAATACTATTCATAATGAGAGCTTCCCTAATTTCTGATGTCATTCACATTAGACATCATATATACTCTTTTTCCTATAGAGAATATTTTCTAAAATGCTGTCAGATATTGTCAGAACCACAGTACAATGAAAAAGTCTCTTCCCCTATAGACTCTAAATCTTACAAGTTACCATTAGACAGCCTTGTCTGATGACATCTAAAAATTTACGTGTTGACTATTCCTGTTTCAATAAATCCAATATTTGAAGTAATTCACTCTGCATTTCTATGAAGCGAATATCAGACCATTAGCTGTTGAGCTTCCTTGTTATGCTGATTTAAACAGAAACAAAAAAGCCACCAAACATCTTTATGAACAACAACAGCACACATCTTTAAAACCACAAGGTACTCCTATTTATACACTGTCACATCTGTGTGAATGGACTCAAACAAGATTTCACATAGTTCAAGTAGTTCAAAAGTCCTTAAGAATTAACAAGTTTCATTTTCACCTCAGCGTAAGGAAATATGTTAATTCATAAAGAACAAAATTTCTTTGAAATAAATGTTAAAGCAGGTGAGAATACAATTTAAAAGACCAGATATAATTCTTCAATAATAAACGAATTTACCAGGGATAGAAGCTTGTGCAGATGAGCTTTCTATACACAGCAATTCCACTGGATGCAATACCAATCATGAGATCTAGATTATGGAGATCCTGCAACAGAAAAGTACTGTAAGAGCAGAAGCATAAGTTTGTGTGATTCCTATTAATCTACTTATAAATTCATTTTCAAGTTTTCTATACTTAAAATATAACTCCTGTGGCAAAAATTCAATCACTTGTTAGGATTTATTATTTTTTTTCCCATCTTTTCTGTGATCCTATCTACTAGGTATTGCTGTCACTAAAACAAGCTGTAATGCTAACCTAACTATATTAGATATTCTTTAAGACACTAAAGTTTCCAGTTTCTAACCTTACACTAGTTCAGCACTGGTAAATAAGCTGAAACATTTCTCAAGATCAGCCAGTCAAAATTTTCGAAATGCAACAAAATTCGTCTTATTCTAATCTGACCTCCAAAGAGGTCTTACCAAAGACTGGGCAAGAGGTAGCCACAATTCTGCATATGCTAAACCAATATGAACATGTATATGAATATTTGATACACAAAACTGAATCAATTGCTAATTAAGAAAGAAACATGTGTTAGCTTAACATGCTAAACTGGAAAGATGCATACATAATTTACAATAGCTTTATGATTACTGAGACAGTAGAGAAAAAATAGAAGCTTAAAAATAAAACAAAAATTTGAGGTTTACAAGAAAAAAAGAGAAAAGCTGAATGCTTAATTTGAGGTGAAACCCAACCTGATGTTACAGAAATTACAAGTCCTGGCTTACATTTTCTCTGTGATGGACCTGTGATATTACATCATAGACAAGTTTCTAAACAGAGCAGAATATGCACATATATCTACACAAGCATAGAACCCACTAGTTAAAATATCAGGTCTGACTCAAATGTAGCTTCAGATTACTTTGCAAAGGATGGCCACAGGTTCTATTAGAGCCTTCAGTAGCTTAGCTGCTCCTCTAGATGGTACTCTGTGCTCACTGAAATACACGTAATTCTCATATATCCAATTCCTATTTCTTCATATTAGTAAGATGAATAATAGACCACGTGCCACATGAACTAAAAACAGTGAAAAGTCTCCAGCAAATCCTTAAATGGTTGAATAAAACTGTGATACAGGTATATGACTGAATTAAGCTGAATCCAATTTGCAACAGTTTACAAACCTGTGAAATATCACAGTACTTCACAAAGAATGTGTATAACCTAAATATTTAATAAATAATACAACAGCACTAAAAATTGACAAGAGAGACACCATTCCTATTTCTAAGAGTTTAATAAACGAAAATTATATAGCTAGCTGTACATACAAGCTTAATCTAAGAATAGTGCAGAATTCACTGAAATGATGAATAATTCCCTGCAGCAGCAGGGCTACCTGCTGCCCCACTTGTCCAAAGGCAGCTGCTACAGGAGGTGGTTGAACCACCATCTGAAGATGCTCCTGGCTTGCCACAGTTTATGGCAGCATAATACAGAAATCCAGAACTTGCACCTCTTTACTGTAATGTGCTGGGGAAAAAACTAAATAGTTTTGGCAAGGGAATACATCTAATTAACTGCTTTTGTCCTGATACCACCTACCTAACACAGAGCAGAAGCCTGTGTTACTGGAACTTGAAGCCTTCTCCAAGTTCCTGCTTTAAAGAAAAAATAATATTAAAAAAAAATAATAATAAATCAATAGTCTGAAGGAAAAACAGCTTAGGAGAAAAAAAAAAGAAAAAGAAAAAAAAAAAAGCCTAAATAATTTAAATAATTTACCAGAAAAAGAACTGTAGAATCATAGAAAATTCCAAGTTGGAAGGGGCCCATAAGGATCACCGAGTCCAATTACTGGCTCCACACTGGACCACCCAAAATTCAAACCCCATGTCTGAGAGCATTGTCCAAATGCTCCTTGAACCGCATCAGCTGGGGGCCATGCCCACTGCCCTGGGGAGCCTGCTCCAGTGCCTGACCACACTCTGATGGAGACTCTTTTCCTGATGTCCTGAGAATTAGCTAAACACTTGATGGAGATTAAGTAGGCCAAAGCACTCTATTTTTTCTAGAAGCTGTGCCAAAACAAACTTCATATTCTGCCTCTACCTCAGTCCAAATACCTAATCTTCCTTGCTTATTCATTTAAGGAATTCTTCTGTATTAAACAAGTAATCTGAAAACAAGATCTTGGACCAGCGTAAAGAAATAGGGTCTCACAAAAGAAAGATGAGGTAGATGGGCACTTCCCTTTCAAAGCATCTGTGCTACTGAACTGCGCTAAGAACTGTCCCACATATACTTCTTTTTCCTTCTTTCTTTATAGAGATAAGCACACGAAACAAACAAACAAAAAACCCACAAACAAGGTAAAAAATGATCATGTCAGTGATCTTGTTAGTTAAATATTCATTGATTTTTAATTTCAAATGCAATCACCAATAAGACTTTTGTAGACATGGAAATAGCATTGATTCTGCAGGTATCCCTACAGTTTCTATAAGTTCCCCTCCAGAACAGAAACAGGTTAATATCAGAACAATTATTCATCAGATCAGATAGTGTTCTAAAGTAAAAAGAAGATATAGTACAGAATTCAAGAAACCTTGATATAGTTTTGAGGCATTAAATTTACTCCTGAGTTTCTTAGTATCAGTTCATTTTTTAATATAACTGAACTCTGTTTAAGACTCTACTCAAAGTGTTCTGTTTGGTTGTTAGAAGGAAGCACACACTTGAGTTCTGTAGAATGTTTGACTTCACGTAATAGAACACTAAGATTAAGTAAGCTAGGCATTCGTCTGATGTTTCACATCATCATCATAGAATAGCCTGGGTTGAAAAGGACAACAATGATCATCTAATTTCAACCTCCCTGCTATGTGCAGAGTCACCAGCCACTAGAAATATCATCTAAAAGCATCCCTCTCTGAACCACCAGTACAAGAGGACCAGTTTCTTCTGTCTATTGGCATACAGGCAAATAGACATACAGTTGGCACACAGGCCAATACAGTTGTTACCCACTTTCTGTGCCACATAGCATATCTAAGACTAAGATTATTTTATCCACGAGGAAAGCTGAATTACAAGGATTCACAGAGGAAAACCTTTCAAAATGTCAGTTTTGTAACTAGCCTCTGCTAACACCTGTTCAAAGCACTGGGATTTGGCAAGTCACAAAGGATGATTTGAAAACAGAATTAAGCAAGGAAGGCTATGAAGAGCTATGCCAAATACCCCTGTCAAAGCTAGGGTTTCATGTAATAATCTCAGTAAAGATATGGTGAGGGAGAGATATGTAACCTTCACTGCAGACTTCAAAACCAGAGACCATTTCAGCAGACTTGTTCAAACTTCAGAAAAGCATTGTTTACAACTCACATGAACTACCAGATGATGCCAAATGATGAATACTCTTCTGTAGGACTGATGCTGCAGCACAGGCTTAGCAAACTTAGCAAATGACAGAGTATCTACCAGGACAGAACACCAGGAATGTCCACTCTGATGAAACCCAGTACTATTACTTTTCTCATAGGCTTTGAAAAATAAATGAATTGCAACAAAGGTATTAACTCAGATGGAAACAGTAGCAAAACAATATGCATCTTAGCTGCCTGGAATAGAGATGCTTTGACTCAAATGTGTACTCTATTTGATTCAGATAATAAAAAAATACTGTTTGGTGTCAGGTAGGGTAGGTGACCATGACTAGTAGTCAGCCATCCTGTGCCATTAGATACAAAAGAATGCACTGAAAATAAGAAATAGACTGTTTAAGCAGTATTTCCAGAGAACGATACTATTCTGAACTGAAATCTTATTTGGCTGAAAAATGTCTCAGGCCACTCTGAACTGTCCTTCCTATTTGACACTGATCTCTACTAACATCCTGTGTATATTTTAATAGCCTACAATTCAAAAAGTTTATAGGAAATTTAAATAACTTTAGAAACTGCATCCCATGAATTCTAAGAGAATAGAAGTTTGTCTCATCATTAAAGTCTGGAATTTAAGGTCTCTTATCAAACAGTAAGCGACCAAAAAAAGTTAAAAGGCACAGACTGATGAACTAAAGGCATACAGGGAAATCTGAGGTGTGATGGGTAAGGGGCTCTTCAGCAAAGCACAGATTTCACAGAGATAACAGAATGGACAGTGAACCCAGACGAAGCCAGATTTAAGATACTCATTTAACATATAAGGGTAAATTTTTACATTGACAAAACACAGGGTCATAGCACGCATGAACAAATTTCCGGTATCGCTTACCCACAACCTCCACATTTGAAACAATGTATCTTAACAGTTATCAAGTAAAACTGGCCTCTCCTAATTCCCCTATCAGTTGTTATGAGCATAGTTTTCACATTTTAATCCCTTCAGTCTTTTCCTTCCCTTTCTACTCCCGCGTTCCCTTAAAAATGGCCACTACTGTTTTTTAAAATAATTTTTCCATGAGTATGAATGTAATTACAGTGGCTTTATACGTGAGTAGTTTAGGGATCTTTATTGATTCAATGCACTCATTCATTTGTGATAGCATATATAAAAAAAAAAGAACAAATTTTACTTAGGAAAGAAAATTATCCTTTCTATCCACTGCACAAGGTTGCAAAAGATACTGAAGACAATTTAGCCCAACCATTCATCCCCCACCAAACCACATCTTGTAGTGCTACATCTAAAAGTTTCTTGAACACCTCCAGGGACCGTGACTCCACCACCTTCTTAGCAGCCTGCACCACCGCCTCACCACTCTTTCTGAAAGACATTTTTCCTGATATCCAACCTGAACATCCCCCAGTGAAACTAATGATATTTTCATTAAAATCCTCAATATCAGCATTATCAATAAATCTCAATGAATGTTCGTAAAAACAGCAGTCATCTTCATTAAGGAGCTCAACCTTCTGCATTGCACTTCACTAGGTTTTTATGCTGCAAGCTATATGCCAGAATAGTTCACTAATCTATAAGAGCACAAATTACCATTTGTGCACCAGGATGCAAGAAAAAGAAGCATTGGCAATTCAGACATTGTAATTAAACAATGAAATGCCAGCAGACAATGAAATGCTAGGACATATTTCTCATCAATGAATACACTGTGTCTGAAGGGTTTCAAATACATCCCTAGTGGTTACCTACCACTTAGATTCAGCCTATAGTCAGTGGATACGGAAATAAAAAATGGGTCAATATTTTTAATGCTGTGTAAAGAAAATGAATGCTGCTTATATTAAGACATTCATAAACTTTAGTAAATTTCTTAAGTGAAATGTACTGCAGCATTAAACTATTATTAAGATGCATTGTAACTCCTTTGAGATTAATCTAATTTTTTTTATTTATTGTAATTCCAGAATCTAAGCTACTCGGAACATTTGAAAAAATATCAAATTCAAAAGTTATGCATGGTAAAGTCAAGAATAAAATTCTACTGTTTTTATTGCTGTATATATCTACAAGAATGTGTATACAACATTTTCCAAGTGAAATACTGCAATGTAAACATACTCTACCACTGTGCAATTCCACTCCATAGAATTCAAGCGTCCGTGCAATATTTATGTAGCAGGACTCTGCTTCAGATTGCTTGAGGCCACTGAAAGAGGGCAAAAAAAAAAAAAAAAAAAAAAAAAAAGATTTAGACCATAGACAAAATAAAATACATAACATCAAATTTATTCCAAATGCAGGAAAAAAAGAAAAAAAAAGAAAAAAAGAGTCTACTATCCAACATCTGTGAAAAACTTCATTAAAGAGTTCCACAAAGTACTTTATTTAGTAAGGACTTCCTAAGAGACTCTCAAAATTGCCCAAGTCATAAAACTGTGTCATTGCCTCAGACATTCAGCACTTTTCAGAAAAATCTTAGCTGAAAATTCTTAGCTGTTTTGTTTAAAGGGATAAGGAAACAAGGCCACTATAATGGCTTCTTTTATAACAGGAACCTGTATCTACAGCCATTATATACTGTTTACTATCTCAGAAGGAAGTTGTTAAGAAGAAACATTAGAAGCAGAAAACTACACAAAAGTAAAGGGAAAGGAGGGAAGAATATTAAATGTTAATATTAAATATTAAATGTTAATATTAAATATCAAATAAGTTAATATTACAAAACCCAACAAGTTAAATTTAAAATCAATAAACAAAAAGCTATTTTTTCCCCCTGCTGTTAGGTGTGAAATGTGGTGCCAGACATGCAAGGATTCTATCTTCTACTTTTTAAAAAACTTTTTAAAAAACTCTTTAGACTCCGACAGACACCTGCTTTCAAAAAGAACTCAAAAATCCTCACACATCAAATTAACTTTAGAACTTCACAGAACTTCTACATGGAATCTATTAGGAGCTTTAAAACACAAAAAATCAAAAAGTAACCCCTACATAGTTCGTTCTCCCCTGCAGCCTACAAATTATTCACCTGAAAGGATTGCAGCCTAAAGAATATCCCCTTAAGCATGACAAAAAGGTATTTGCTTCCAACAAATTGTAGGGCCATAATTTTATTATCTGAGAACTGATTAGACAACAGAATACAAAACCTAATACTACTCTAATACTAACATTGCTCTAATACAAAATCTGCTGTGGGCTACTGACATCATGTTGTGCCAGCAATAATCCTGGTCTTGCAGCACAGACCAGTGAATCAGACACTACAGCATACTAGAGAAACTGTCAGAACAAAGATCAAACAATTACTATCTACCCATGTTTAAGAAGAAAAGCCTACAGATACTGTTGTCTCATGGCTACTACAAAATGCAGGAAAAAACAAGAAAAAATGCCCATTAAATTATGTTAATTAAATGTGATTTAAACTAACAACCTGTAAGAAAAACATATAACGTTATGTTACATTAGGACACTAGATAGAGAGACATTTCATATAAAGCAGTAATTCTAACTTTTAAAGGAGTAATTGCCTTGAAAATCAGCCACTTCAAGATACCACCTTCTAAATTCCAAACCATACTAATCTTCCCTGGAACTGCCATTCTAACAACTATCAATCTTCATGAAAGCAATCAGAAAGACGAAGTTATCTTGAGTAATAAAGCCATTGTCAGCAGTGTGACTTGAGAATGTCACAATATTGGAATAAGGACTGAAGGGGAAACAAAAAGCTGTTTGCAGATAAAGTTCTTACCCAGATCTACATCTACAGTGACTACCATCACCTTGATTTAAAAAAAATAATAATAATAAGTTGACATCGTGTCCTTCAGTTTACCAGAAAGGTTGAGGATGGAAAAACAAACATACAAAATGACAATTTGATAATGCAACAGAATGTTTCCCTTCTGTATATTTTCTTTTAGTTAATTTTTTATCAAGAATTTTGCTTAGGAAGATAAGGAAAGCCTGACAACTCACAAGAAGGAATGCCTACAAATTTTAATTCTCAATTTGCTTATATAATCTACTTCAGATTAAATATGTCTCATTTAGGCCACTAAGAAGTGCCTCAAGACAGACTTAAGAATTTTTTGTTTGTTTGTTTGACCCCCTACTCGTCTGATAGAGGGGAAAGTAAAACTACAGGTCCCTGGTGGTGGGCAGTTACTGAGCAAAATAGATAGGCAAGAGAAAAGAATGCCTATATAGATTTAGAGATGAACACAGAAGGAAAATATCTGAAGGCTTTACTAGTTTGAAAGGATAGCAGTTGCTTTCTCAGCACCTACATTCTGCTGAACAGTACCTTAAGTATGTCTATAGAACTTCCTTCTAAGTTTTGGCAAAAGAATATGACATCCAGTTAAAAATATGGCATTGGAGCTAGAGCAAACATGATGCAATGCGTCTTCTCAAATCTATATTGCATTTCAGTAATTACGATTATTCATTTTTTCCCCACGATAGTTGAAAAATGAAAAAGGACAGATTTTCACAGGGCTGGGTTTGAAATCTTAAGAATGGTTTAAAAAGTTATAATAATTTTCAAATGTTACACAGCACGTATGCCAAATACTACTAATTCTCTTCAGATCTCATTTCAAACATCACTCTCCTCAAACAGTAAGATAAATTCACCCTTTCACACTTTTTTCTTAGAAGGTGCAGTGAATACCACAATCATTCTTGTCAAATACATTGCTGGCACTGAGCTCATGAAAACAATGTCTCAGACAGCAGTATTCACTATATTTGCCAAGAAGGATGCAAGGAATACTGCCAGAATACACAATAACCTGTCTCCCTCTCCCTGAACTCCAAAATAAATATGCCTAAAGACTTAAGCATCAAAAAATGTTGTAAATGAATGAAGAATTATTTTTCCTAGTACAGTCTATTCAAGTATTGTTATTCATAACTTTTATTACATGACCTATGTGAAGAGAGTGCTTGCAATATAGCATTTAAACTTCAGTCCACTAAAACAGCTACCAATGGCCTTAATCCAGCAAAACTGTTCAAAGAAAGCATCAGTTTCACTGAAAGAATCCAGAAAATAAAGTGCTTTCCAACAGACTTCACCTGTTCACACAGAGTTTTGTGCAGACTTTTAGTCTGTCCTCTGCAGGATATACTCATATCTTTGGCTATGATAACAGTAAAGCCATGACTTCAGCATACCCACTCCAAGACTATCCAGAGTCTTCCCTAAGTGGCTTGTAGGACAAATTCCTCCTAAAAATGACCGAATTTATTCATGCCTGTCTACAAGTTCCTTGCCAAAGACATCTGAGCCTTCTGGAAACTTCTGGAATCAGATTAATTGTGAAGGAGCAGAGGCCTTGGGTGTTGCATTCCTGAACTTGAACATCTAGAAAAGCAGACCAGATTATTACCTATGCTAAAGGAAAAGTTGCTGTGCAAGTTCAGTAGTTATCTCTGTTTTACCCCATAACTAACAAAACAGCATGCATGTTCTGGACTGTGCCAAGTGGCCACACATGAAGTTCTGAACTACTCACTACATCCACCAGCAGTAAAGAAAAAAGAGGGAGAGGTCGGGGTACTGAAATATGGCAAAGAAAAAAATTTAAGGAATATTAAGGAGTGAAGAAAATGGAGATATTTTAAGGTAATACCACTAATTCTAAATATTCAGTCTTACATGGCACAAATTAGTGAGATTAGCAAGAGTAATCAGCAGTAGACTTCAACTGGAATAACCAATTACAATCACACTCAGGAGAGAAGAGTGTTATCTGTTATCAAGGCTTGGCTCCCTTATGCACCACTCCTTTCACTGACAGAAAAAAAAATCTTTAGGATTTCAGAAATGTTCAATGACCCTTGATCCAAAAAAATCACAAGTATCTTGTACAGTGCTCTAGAAGGTTGCTATTAACAATATACTGTGCTAACTGTTCTACTCCTCGCGATAGAAATTTATTTATAGTTTCAACACACCTATACGCTGAAAGCAAGTATTTCAATTACTATACATTATATGAAATATAACTAACTTGAAAAGAAGTGCAAAAGGAAGATTTTTTTAAAGAGCTTATAAGGCAAGAGGAAACTAAAAATTAATGTTACCTGTGTTGTTCATGTAGTGCTTCTACTTTGGTAAGAAAATCTTTGTTCTGTTCTGGTATAAAGTTGTAACTGGACAGATATCCTGAATGATGTATTGAAGCATCATAGTCTCCAAGTTGTGCTGTTGGAAAACAAGAAACACAAAGCTTTCATAGTTAATTATCACTTGCAAGAAATCCCTTCTCTTAATTAATAAAACAAAATATTCACACATAAGGAGAAAAGCAAGAATTATGAATTGTTTTTCTACAGGCAAGCAGTACTGAACACAGTTAACTGCATTAAAACTGTGAAGAACTTCTCAAAATATGCTTACCCTAACTAGAGTCTCAGGTACTTAAAGAAATCAGTACTTCACTTATAGCCACAGTTTTGCAACCCCAGTCTGTAACACCACCACACAGTACGTGACACAGATGAGTAGTACTGAAACATTAAAAGGAAGCAAAATGCTCCAGAAAGACAAATGAAATCAATTTGATGTATCTTTACATGATCAAAACAGATAGAAGACTTTAATTAGATCTGTCACTTAAAGACCAACTACTCTGTACACTGTAAAACTGTTTTAACTAGAACTACTGGAATTGCCCTAAGAATTCAAATGTTAATTGCCCTACTGAACATGAGGCATAATGTAGCATAAGAAATAACTCCTAATTTACACAGAATAGTAACAACTTATCAAAATTAAATATATGCTTATAGATACATAAACTAAAAACATCCCTTAAAACTTTATCCCTTAATTAATGATATAAAATAGTATATACTTTCAGTCACTAGCACTAGATAAAGTGAATTCTTAAACAGAGTTGGTGGGATATATGAAAACACAGAAGTACAAACGATCACAGATCTACAGCCCCAGTCCACACAAATACTATTTAAGAACACACCAGCATAAACTTACGTGCTAGAATAGATATACATTTACTCTTGTTACGAAGATGCAAGGTTTGTAGCAGGAAGGTGGCTGACTCAACCTGACAGATCTACCCAGCTTCAATTTAGCAAACAAATTAAAACCTTTATTTCATGTTAACTTTGGTACTTTTATGAAATACTTTTAAGACATTAAACCTAAAATTATGGGATGTTTAAGCAAATCACTAGAACTTGTACAGTTCTCCTGTTTTGCTTGAGAGCATGAAGTTTTTTTTGTTTGTTTTTGTTTTTTTTTTTTTTTTTTTTTTTTATATGCAATAAACCATAAAGATTCCCAAAATGTTTCTGTATGGTGTGTAAATTAGCACAGGATAAGTATTTGTGTTTGCAATCTATACTGCAGCATGGAAAACTGCAACTAAACCATGAAGTTAAAGAACCTTTAGGAATCATTCTGTTACCATTATTTAGTAGAAGATAGACTCAAATGATTTAGACTAGAGCAAAAGTAAAAATATAAAATGGTGTACTTCAGAAATAACTTACAGGCACAGTAACTATGGTGTATTTGTAATGCAGGCTCTAACGGGTATTTGCTGCTTGTATATCCAAAGAGCATGTCATGTACAGCTTAGGAATGTGAATCACTATGGTACAAAACAGTTTCTTAACAAATGTAGTCAGAAGCTAATACAGTTGCATACATAACTGTCAAGATCAAGTGAAGTATTTAAATAGAAAAAGAATGTAGAATGATGAACAATGAGTAATTTAGTTTGGCATACCAACGTTCCTGCAATGCTTTCAATTTATTTTCTTCTTCTTTCAGAGGGTAGTCTGACTTTTAAATTAGTGACAAAGCAAGTGTCAAGAGACTAAATATTATTTCAGATTTAATATTTAATATTTGAATATGTATTATTAGAACTAAAACACATTTGAATACTGCTGTCAAACAATGCATCTTTGAAGAAAACAAAATGAAGCCAAAACAAAACAAACCAGAATATTCAGAAGTGTATATACTTCTGAAGCAGATTATTTATTTATTTTTAGGAATATTAGCATATTAACAGAACACCAGGTTTCCATCAAGAACAAGGCTATGACTATGGAACAACTGAACATTTTGTGCAAAGTAGACATTTAGTAGAAGTGGAGAAAGAAATCTGCAGATGAGAGTAGTTGATTGAAGACTTTCCTCAAGTGATCTTTTCTGTGAAACATAGCATACATTTTTTCATATCGTTCTGGTGAAAGAGTTCTGTTGCAGTAAGTCTGAATCATATTTTTGTCAAGAGGAAGAGAGCAGATTACCAGGAATAAGAGAATATAATTGCCCACTTGAATTCATTCGTATTAGGTAATTCTTTTTTTTCATTCGTTATGAGACGAGTTCTTGCTCGCCTTCTATATAAGGACTTTGCTCTGGCCTCTTTCACACTTCTAGCTAACTAAGGTCATGCCAATCCAGGGAGCAGTGCTACTTGCTGCTTCTTCAGTTCCCCAGATAACACTTGACTGTCACAGTGAAAGAGAAACTATAAATGCTGATTAGCAGACACTTTGAAAGGGTAATGGTCTGTGTGCAGGTTTCTACTTATTCAAAAAGAAAAAAATATTAGGGTGTGTCAGGACCACAGCAAAATCCATAAGGTTTCCACTTCTTTACTGGATTTTTGCAGCAGAGACTGAGGGAAGAGTATATTGAGATATTTTAAAAGTTTCCCCTGACATAGCTTCTGTTCTGATCACCTAGGTCAGCAGCAAATATAGACTTAAGGGGCATAAAGTCGCAGTTAAAAAAAGTGGGGGGTGTTTCCTTCACCTTTTTAAACACATTTCCCCATTCTAACTATCTATTGCTCTTTAAATCATTATAACTTTATATATAAAAATATATATTATATATATTATATTATATATATATTATATATATATATTATATTATATATATATATAATATATTATATATATATATATTATATTTTATATATTTATATATATATATATATATATATATATATATATAATATTATTTATAACATTATAGCAAGGAAACTGAACCAAGAAGGAATAAAAAAACCAGGCATTTTCGTGTCAGTTTCCTGTATTTTACAGTTTGGTATTTAATATGACAATCTTTAAAGAAGGGAACATGATAGAACCATTCACACAGAAGGCAGCACTCAATGTAAAAAGGCATATAACTCAGTAAAAGGATATTGTAATAGCCAAGGAATCATGCAATAATTTCCTTGGTTGAAGTCCCAATTCAGTACTGTATGAATTTAAGAATGTTTGAAAAAACAACCAAAAGATCTTGAGCTCATACGTGTTGACACAGGATATGATCTGTCTATGCCCTACTGTAGACTAAATAAATCATGTTTTCTTCAGATTTCTTACAAAGAATTTGCTCAGAACAATGTGGGAGGCTGTATGTTTTTGCCTCTTTTTCCTGACAGAAGAAAAACTTCTGTGCAGGAAGGCAAAGGAATGAAAGGCCAAGCTCAAGTGAGGGTAAAAAAATAAAATTAAAAAAAATTGGACATTTTGGTAGAATTCTGATGCAGATGAGGAGACCAGAAAATGAGAAAAGATGACAGGCAACAGACAAATCTGAACACTAGCAACTGAAAACTGAAGTGGAAAGGCCCTGAGCAACCTGATCTGACTTTGAAGAAGCTTCTTCCAAGCTGAATTTTTCTGTGGTTATACTTGACATGAAAACGATGACATGAAAACTCCTGCTATGTGACCAAGATACTACTTGCTTGTCTCCAGTTTTAGAAACGGCTGTTGAATGCTAACAGCATCAAAATGTTATCTGTTAAATCTGGTCTGGTTTTTTATTTCCACAAAGATGTCTGGTAGATCCACAAAGTAAAATTCTAAGGAGATCAGCTGTTAGTTTTATGTAACTTAAAGAGAAAATAGAAAATCATCACTGTTTATGTGAAAAACCTCACAGAGGTGCAGAAGACAAGTTGGTTCTGAATTCTGGAAGTTTTCTTTTAATGTCTATGTACAAAGCAATAGCACCAGAACCAGTTTTTGCATATAGGTGTTCTAAACAAATACAAACAAATAGAAACATCCGAAGGCTAGCACATGAACGCTTCATTTACTAAGCATGATGTGGAATCAGTTGGATATTACAGAGAATGTGGTTCAAAAGAATCCTCAGAGAACTTAGGGCCTGAAGGTTAAGTATCAACTTTCTGAAGACCTGAAAAATAGGTATACCTGAAAAAGATAAATTAGTTTCACAATGAATTTGTAACTTTTTGCAGTGTTGAACATTTTGCTTGACATTAATAAAACAAGTGAACTGAATTGCCTGGTCTTCGAAGAAGACAATAACATGAGCAGCTCATGTTGCCAGGGAATGGAAAATTACCAAATGATAGGACAAGTTCAGGGTATGAATTATATAGTTCCTCATGATGTTGTAGGAATAAAATGAATGGAAGTTCAAGTAAAAAAGGTTAAATTAGTTAACTATTTACCAAGGAGTAAAAGTCATCATTGAGAAAACGACAATCCAAGATTAAAATAAAGTTGCATAACTGGTTTACATATGAGGATCTCAATAATGAGTGTCGTGCAAAGATGAGAGTAAAACATAGTATTCAAAGCTGATTCTAAATTTATCTTCATATAAGCACTGAAATACAGTTCAAGTACTGCTAGTTACTGTCGAGAAATAGTGAACGCAAGATATTCCATCATGAAAATATTTCTGGAATCAGGAAAAAAATCTACTACAGCAGAGCACGATTTTGAAGAAACATACAAATGTAGGCTCTTTTTAGAGAGAGACTAAAATGACACTAAATTAAGCACCAAAATAAGTAAAATCAATGTAGATGTAGAGATTAAAATACAACTAGCTATCACACGAATAAAACCGTTTACTTTGATGATGCACTATAAAGTGAGAGATTACAGAACTGTACTTCAGTGTTCTAAAGTATTATAGATTCAAACAAATATTTACAGAATGATGAAATGATAATGGACAAACAACAATTGGATTAATGATCTCCTATGTATTGCTTATCACAACCGAAAAATGAAATTAAGGGACAACAGCCCCAAACAGCTGAAGAACTGCTGTATACAAGAGTTCAGAATCATCTTAGCAGAGCAGTTCTATGAGCTGCCAGCAGGCTCAGGGTCAGTAAGGTAGACCACAGTGAACCGTGTGGAAGAAAACACAAATATGTTAATTCACCTATTTAAGCAGATTCTGGTATCTTCACCACCACCAATAACATACTGGTACTGTTAATTACAAGTGTTACAGACATGATCAAAGGCATCTCTGATTAAACAGAATTACAACACACTTCAGGAGGACAGACAGGCCACGTACATAATCCTTACACTACCTCACATACATGGAAAATAATTTCAAATACTGGAAATTCAGATCAAAGTTGTCTGTATTTATCAAATCTGACTGTGGTTCCAAAGGATAAGGGCTACCAGTACTCAGTAGAGTACTAGGATAGTAGTCAGAACTTCAACCTTTGAGTAAATGTCAGCCTCCATGATGTCCTTCTGAACATTATTTCCCTTCAAAGAAGAATGGAAAAGCACCATGCCTCATGATACAAAAGGAAAAAAGAATCTCAAAACACTAGCTGCAAAAAGGCAAGTCTGCAAATTAGGAAACCTAAAGTTTTGGTGAATTTTCTATTTTCAAAAGATATTAATAAATTAAAAGCCTCATTGTACACCTTGGTTAGAAGAACCAGGCAAAAAAGAAAAAAAAAAGCAGATGGAGAAAAACTCCATAGTGCAACTCTAACTTTAGAGGTGCCATTAATTTCATGAGCGTGACGTTCCCCTAAATCTTCCAGTCTCTCTCCTCTGATACAGATGGGAATTCAGCCTTATGCAACTTCTGCTGGAGCTCCCCAAACTGGAATAAACTCTTACTCCTAATTCCTGAAGAACTGGCATATTAAACTTACCTTTTCTAAAATCCTCACCTTCTTTTTCTTCAAAGAACCTTTAAATCACAAACAAACCATCAACCTCTTCCTGAGTAAATTGCTAAAAATAAGACAGCAGTGTGCTAGAGATCTCCTGTTTCTCAAAGCACAGCTAAGAAGGGATAAGAGAAATAGCACTTAGAGGAGGAAAAAAAAATAGGCAGTCACAAATGAAACTCAAGAAAAATAAGTTTTAAAGTATTCATAGTATTTTGTGTTGACTTAGCCGCTGTGTCTCAGATTCAGGTCTCAAGCCATCAAAGGACTAACATACATGGGAGCATATTCTCACCAAACCCATGGGACTTCTTACATATCTGTAGTTAGGCACATTTAAATGCTATTGAGGAAATGGGAACTTACTACAGGAAATGACAGGAAACAAGTGCTTGTAAATCAGCTACACATTTTAAATTAAAAAAACTGACACAAACACATACATTATTTAATTTTATAGACTGTACAACATTGTCATTTTATTCTGGTAGGAAACAAGGGGTACAGCCCATTAATAAATTGTTATTCTAATAGAAAAGCATGCCTTTAGTCAAGCAGTTTTGAGATATGAGATGTACCTTGTTAAAACTCTCCTTAAAAAAGGATTCCAGAATTCAGTAATTGCTTCTGTCAAAAATGCATTTGCCAATATTAAACTAACTTAGAATTTAAAGTCTTCAGACAGCTGTGAGCTCTTCCTCTGCATACACCAGAAGTTACAGAAAACCATCACAAAATGGCTCAGCTAGAACTGTTCCACAGCAGCTTCAAACAATTGCTTTTTAACAAGGAGGTAGCCCACACCTATTAACTTAAACTCTCCTTAAAAAGTACAAACAGATTAAAATATCAACAGAAAACTAAAACATTTTTACTTGACAAGAATCCCAGCAAACATGTTGAGATAAGGAAAAATAGATGCCCAGGTCTCAGAAGGTCCTTTTTATTCAGTCATTGTGTGAATGGCAATAACCTGGTAGCAAAATAGAGACTACTTTCTTTTAAGTGAATATGCCTTTATTGAATGCTTCATTATTTGCTGAAGCAAACAGTAAAGGTAGGTATCATACAAACATACAACAGCTAGGATAAAAAAAAAAAAGGGACTTTTTAACTGGTAATACACAAATAGGAGTATGAGGCAAGTAGCTGAACGGGAAATTCCAGAGTCCACCAGCAAAGAGAAAGATTAAAACACAACTTTCACAATCTTCACTGACCTTCACTGACCTGCTTTAGTAAAATTAACTGCACTAGAAAATATCCAAAGCACTGAAAGGGAAGCTCTTATGAAACTGAAGGGAAACTGGAATTACTTTGGCATTTTAGGTACGCTACCCATAACATATTTTGAAGACCTTGGTAACCCTGAGCTTGCCATAAATATTTGCGTTCTTCAACGCACCTTTTCACTTTCTTGCTTCAGGACAATTGTGTTGCCAATGCTTCACTAACCATCTTAACAGTTTTGAGAGTTTTAGCGTTCCAGTGCCTTACCACATCCCAGAGATGCAGAAGTGTGCATGCATTTTCTTTTGCAAGAAAACTGGAATGCTAGCCTTTCATAGAAAACGTTCTGGTTTCAAACTCGCTCATTAAGTGGGAATGTGTTTAAAGGTTCATTTAATAAAAAGGTACTGAATACGATAAACACAACATTGAATTTTTTGCAACTACTTGGGATTTTCATAGATATCAAGAGCTCAACACTCCGTACTTCCTTTTCTGAAAACTGTATTCAAATTTTTTAGATTCATGACCTCTTATAATTTCTGGACATTGCTTATTTTAAAGTAATTGTACAACTATTCTGCTATGTTTGCCCCATCCATCCTTTTTTTTTGTAATGCAAAATTCACTGATCCTTCAAACTCTATTTTTATATTTATTTATTTATTTTTGCTATACTAAGAAAGGTCTTTCTTCGGCCGTTTTTAAATTATCCATCTAGGATTCAGCTCCATTTTGTTTCTCTTACAGAAGATATTTTTCTGCTATCACCCTTAAAACATCTTTCCACCAGTAGCAGACAGATGAGAAGGATGGAAATAATTGTAAGAATCACTGCTGAGAGTTTTCCCATATCTAACAAATCAGTATTTCCTGAAAAAAAAACCATTATGTAAGAACATGCATTTCTTAATCATAATAGTTTATTTATTCCCCCCTTAACTGTTCTCTAGGCGATTTCTTATTTCCCTGGAAGGCAATCTTGCAGTTACTGTAACATGCACTAAGCTTTATGATTTTGAAGAAGAAAAATAAAAGACAACATTGGGAACAGTACATGTTCTACAAACACACACAAATAAGAACACCATTAATTTTTTTTTTTTTTGGACAGACTCAAAAAAGTAGGCTTTTTCTATGTAAAACATCTGGAGGCTGTAATTTCCACTACCTTCCAACGCTTCCTGGTAGCGTTTTGAACATTTCACACAAAAAGAGGAAAGAAATCTTTCCTTATTTTTCATTGCAGAACAACCAAAAATATACTTACTAATCAAAGGAAAATTGATTATCACTTACATTGTACTGCGTATGATGCCAGCACAACAGCAGAATTAATAGGACATGACAACCTGGAAAAGGAGAAATTATTTAGACAATATGAACACAAGTGTGAACATGGTATTTTCAATTATTTCAGCGAGTAACGACTTTTTATCTTCAAATTGTGTCTGATTTTTTCTTGTGAAGTTTAACCATCAAATCAAACAGATAGCAGAGGTTAGTTGTTTAACATTATCTTACGCAAATAGATGTACCTCATCCTAAAAGGACATATTCTTGCTGGACGCTTATTCTGGAAACCAAAGAAGGGATTTTTATGCAACTCTGGACATCATTTTAATAGCTGCCATCCAGTGTATTTAAAACTAAACGTAAACACTAAAATTAGCCAAATGCCAGTACAAAGACAGCTTTGATCTAATGTTCAGATGTAATTCCATAACCGACACCTACTAAGAGATCCTAGCGGCAATTTCTATTTGGCAGGAAATATCTGGACCAACTTTTTGTACAAATACAAAGGAACTGGGCAAAGGAACCACTGTGTAAATGTTCATTATAAAGAGAAGATATCCCAAGACTAAAGAGAAACAAAAGCATGAACTGCTATTTACGAAATTTATGTATGTGCAGAAACATCTCCCACAGCTTACTCACAACAGACTCATAAACTGCTCTTAGTCAGCTACACGAAAATTTGAAGTGTTTCAAAGCAACTCATGTTTTTTTTTTTAAGCAGTATTTCATAAGGTACATCTTTATAGCAGCAATTGGTACTCTCCAAAAAAAAAGGCTTATTTGTTCGCTTTTAAAGAGAATTATGGAGAAGTTGAAGATTCTTATTACCTTCCTTCTACAATGTCAGTCTTCAGTTGCAAGAAGAATAAGTGCCTAGAAAATATTTTTTTGAAAAATGAAAAAAAAACCCAACACTCGTATTTAAAAGGCATTGTTTAAATTGGTAGAAGTATTGATTTCATTTTATTATGGAGGGAAGTTCCCTGGCAAACCATAAAACAGATGAATAAAGTTTAGTGGCATTTACAAATATGTACTCTCACACCCATTCTTTTTCCAAACAGTTTTAAGGATCTTTGACCATCAATACTACAACCACAGGACCACAGTATTTATGCCATAACAAACACTGCAAAATACTGCTGTGCAAAAAACTGCTCTACAGAATCAGGCTTCTTTTCTTCTAGGATTACCTATTTGGGATATAATTTATTTTAAACATTCTTTGAGAGTCTATCTTGGGACTGTTTTTAATGACCAATGGAGGATGAGATGTTTGTCAAGCAGCATACAGACAAAAGCTCTTGAACAATCCCCCAACAGCCATTCAGCCTTGCTCACATTAGAATGTTTGACAGCGCTACTTGAGAGCAGTAGTGGAGAGCTGGGAGTAAAGAATTGCAGAGAACAAGTCTTGGAATCATTTCATAGATTCATAGAAGGATTTGGTTTGGAAGGGATCATTTTTTGATTGATCACTTTAAGATCATCTAATTCCAACCCCCTGCTATAGGCAGGGACACCTCTCTCTAAACCAGGCTGCTCACAGCCTCATCCAGCCTGGCTTTCAACGCTTCCAGGGAAGGGGCATCCATAACTTCACTGGGCAACTTGTTTCAGTGTCTCACCACCCACACAGTAAAGAATTCCTTCCAAACATCAAGTCTGAATCTACCCTCTTCCAATTTTTAACCATTTCTCCTCATCCTTTGGCTAATGTAAGTTTAGAGCTGCAGAACAGTTTACAAACTGCATAAAGAGCAAATATCAAAATGGATGACAATTTTCCTGTAAAAAAAAAATCACGTATAATGTTTTACTATTTACATTCTCAAGGTACTAAAATTAACTAGTAGGCAAACAAAGAAAGCATTTCAAAAATGTCAGATCTAGAAAACAAGTACTGTTACTTGCTCTTCCTGAAACAAAATAAACAATGCCCTGGAAACAAATCTGCTACACACATTCAGAATTAACTCAGTACTCATACAAAGAAAAATCTGATATGCTCAGGGCACGCAGACAGCATAATCACTGAACTTCCCATTTTTTAATCATTGCATCTGGTTAATTAAGGGATTATAAAAGAAGGAAAGCAAAACAGGCAGCCATGAAAGGTTCAGAAATAGAATCCAAAGTGCAAATAAAACAAAGATTTGTGTAACTAACTTACGCTCTACCAGTATTTTGGAACTGTGGGCTGCTTAAAGCAGAAACCATTTATTATGAGCATTACACAAAGCTGCTAATTCTAAACACATTTAATACAAACAATTATAAGGTTATGCTGTGTAATATTACATAACATACTGCAGTTTGCCATGTTGTGGAGGTGGAAATGAGGGCTTTACACATACTTAGTTTAGGGAATTAAACATCAGACATTACCTGGTTTGTTCTTGCTGAAGTGTGTTTGGATCAGGTATGAAAAACCTTACACGAAAACGAAGGGTGCAGGGAAAACCTCCTAAAACATTTTAGAACACCAAATCAATTTTATTTTTAAAAAACATACACCCTAAGTTCTTATGTTTTATGTTTACAGAAAAGTTACTCAAATAATCCCATTGTAATCCCATCTATTTTACTTGTGGTTTCTTATTATTTCAAGAAGTCTCTTCCAATCTCCCTCACCAACCACAATTAGAAAATATCCTTACATATTCTGATGCTTTCATTTTAAGTACTTACATAAAAGTACTATTTAGTTATCTTTGCTGCTTTACTCGATTATTGAAAAAGGAAAAAGCAGCAGATGTATATGAAGCATTTCAATCAGGATAATTCTTAATTATAGAAAAACAAACGAACATCAGAAGTTCACAGTCTCAATTTCTAACATTTTTTTATCCAAATTCCTACACAACCTACAGCATACAGTAAAAATAAAAAGATCTTAAAAATATAGCTCAAGTTTTCTAACACAAATTGGGACTGTCACTCAAGTTCTATTACACTACATTCTCTAGGCTGCTGTACATGCTGTAGCATGCTGGCTGGCCTGTCCTCAAGCTCTCCTTTTTGGTAAACCTGTGCCACTCAAAACTGTTTATGAACAAAACAAGACTAGAACAACGCATGGACTTAGAAGTATGGTTTTTTTTGTTTGTTTTGTTTGTTTGTTTGTTTGTTTTTTGTTAAAAAACAAGCATAAAATTAAGTTTCCTATGTTACTTGGGACAAAAATTGGCCAGAACCTGTGCATGAAATTAGCTCAGCTACTCTCAAATTCCCTCTTTCTTATCTTCCATGTAAGGATGATTTTACTGACACCATAAGCTGACATCTGCTTTCACAGCCCTGATGCCCAATAATGCTGAGATGCCTGTTGCAGACACTGTTACAGCACAGTTAGCGACTCATCAGGTCCTAATAACACCCAAGGAGCAGGAATATAATGCAAAAAGTTCTGCTTAAAAGACTGATAGAACTAAGACTTGCTCTAAAAGAAAATCTAACACAGAAAACCTGAATTACACATTTACAATCAAGAAATAAAAACCAAGTCTTACCTTTTAACTGTTTCCTAATAGGTTTGTTTGGTTCAAGCCATCGCTGTGAAATGAAAAACTATTAGATGGATTAAACATATTTACAAATAATGGCTGTTTACTTTTATATGCATGTGTATATATATATACATATGTACATATACATACACACATATTTATTATTTATATACTTACAGGTGAATCTACTGAAGTTTCATTTTGCTGTAAACCGAAATATTCCTTTTCTGTCACACCCAACTGACTATAGGTCATATCCAGCAAAATCTGACCAGTGTCTTGTTTCTGAAAACAAGAAACATTTAGAAGTGAAACTGTGAAACACTTACATATTAAAAGACACAAATAATTAAAAAAGTTTTATTTAAGAAAAAAATAAACCAATTGTGAATAAAAATAGCAGCTAATTCATTTGTCCAGTTTCTCAATAATGTAAAAGAGTTTCATTATGAAAAAAAAAGTATTTTTCTTTTTGTTTTTAAATAAAAGAGACTTTCCTCCCAAAACAAATTAGGTGTCCCAAATCTCACAATATGAATTGGTATGAACACAAGTCATTGAGGTCAGCCCAGCAATTGACTTTTATTCAGGTCATCCCTCCCTCAATCAGTTTTCAGGAGCAATACCCTTCTCTGGAGTAATAACCTGCAATCATGGCTTACAGCCACACGAGGCTGCTGCAGCTCTTGATGTCATCCCAAAAGCAGCGCTTTCCATCTCCACATAGTTTTCACAAGGGAAAGTTTGTATACATCAGAATGAAGAAAAAAAGGCAGGAGGAAGATGTAACTCTAGCTATTAGATCCTGGATTTCAGCCTGAATTCCCACTGACACTACTACCACTACGCCGCAACACTTTCTGCTTAGACATCTGTCCAGTCAGGTATTCCCAGAAGAACCAGAGTAAACAGGGAACCCCAGGGGACATCAAGACATGTAAGCATGGTATTTTTTTCCCTGAAATTAAATTAGCTTATCATCACACCACTGCAACGTGGACTACTGATAACCAGCGTCCGTCAAAGAAAACACTAATCAATGCTATTAAAGAAAACAAAGAAAAACAGAACCCCCTGAACAAGACTGCAATCTTAAATATGCTAACATGTAACATATATTGCAACAAAGTACAGAGCTTCAAATGTAGTCAAACCAAGCCAGTTTGCTTGACATCTTGTCTATTAAAAAAAATAATTATACGCATGTAAAATTTTTCATAAGATCTTGTGAATTTTATTCTTAAAAGCAGAAATAAGTTGCATATGTGCACAAAAGTGATACAAGTGGAAAATTTTTCATGCCACAAGTACTTTGCTTAAAAAAATATCAAAGGACTTAACGCATATGCATTATAGTGATCACATCTCTGTGGATGGCCTTATTCGGTGTGTAAGAACACTCACTGAAGCACTCAACATAATATGGCATTCAACTCCCTTTGTCTATACAACATTATACAACAATCAAGTCCTGCTCAGAAGACAGATTTACCTGTTTCTGTTTTCTTGTTTTGGTTTGTTTTTGTTTTTGTTTTTTTTTTTTTTTTTTGCTTTGTTGTTTCTTGCTTTGACTTTTTTCCTTGAGCTTTTTTTTCTTTTTTTCTTTTTTTTTTTTTTCTTTTCTTTTTTTTTTTTTTTTTTTACAGTGCTGCACCAGCACTGTAACTGAGAGCTTTAAATATTAACATAGTCCATAGTCTCCTCTTACCTCATAAAAAACTTTCTTATTTAGAAGATAAGGAAACCAAAGATTCAAGTGAAAGACACACACCTTATTTGGAAGTACTGAATATTACTCAGTACTTGTGACTGCTAGAGCAGAGCAGAGCTCCAGCAACTCCACTGAGATGTGTTCGTTCACTATTTCTTCACCAGACTCCAGACAAAAGGTAAGGTAATAACAGCCAATAGCTATGAAAAGCTATGCTTAGTTCTCTAGAGCAAAGTTTCACAAGAAGAAAAATGTAGGCAATGCTTAACTCTTACATATGAGACTAGCCTTTCCACTTTGACAGGCTCTCCTACTTTCCCCTTCCAAACTAAAGCACCTGTCAATACCAATTTCTTTTTTCCCTTGAAACAGCGGACTTCAGTATAAAAAATGCAGCATCTCAGTGACAGGCAAAAAGCATGCAAATAAGCATTCCTCATCACACATGGCCATGATGTGCACTTTGAAGGCAGTCTTGTCCAGCACTGACAATGAGGTGGGCTCTTATACAATGACTGAGTTTTATCAGAGTAGCAATACATGTACACAAGATCTCCCAATAGAAACAGCAAAAGCAACCAGGATTCTCTGAAATAATGGACATTTCCTGAGTTATGCTCCCCAGAATTCTATGTTATTGTTTTTGGGTTTTTGTTGATAACATTGCTTGTTCTTTTTCATGGAAGCAGAACATTAAAAACTGTCAAGAGGCATCACATGAAGCCTGCACAACTCCGAAGCATGGCTTCGCATCTCTGGAGCATACTTCTAACACTGAGCTAATTGAGAAATTAACGGTTATTTTGTAACCAAAAGCAGTAATTACTTAGAATGATGCATACACTTCAATCAAAAGAGTTTGGGAATTTGGGGTTTTGCTACCAACAGACGAAGAGAAGATTATGGTGAGCAGATTATACTGCTGACTTTCTCTAAGCTCAGACATTCCCAATACCCTTTCTTTTCAACAGCACTGCCTCCCAATTCCCGTATCATTTTTGACACTTCTGGTCTTTTAATCCAATTCAGACATCTCCATCTTCTCTCTCTGTCTCTGTCTCTGTCTCTCTCTTTCTCTCTCTATCTCTCTCTATCTTTCTCTCTCTCTCTCTCTCTCTATCTCTCTCTCCACCTTCCCTCAGTGGCGCATCTCTCTTTCTCTGCCATAAATAAAATTCTAAGCCTTTTTACTCCTTCCCTCTAAAGCCAAGCAAGCTCCCTGTTTCGATATTCTGAATCCCAGCCCTAGATGTTCAGCCACTGCTAGTTTCCTCTACTTGCCTAGCATTCCTTTTTCTTCCTCTTCTGCATTTCTTTTCACAAGCAGTTAAGATCACTTTCATGTACTCCAATCCTTGCTCTCTGGTATCAAAAGCACAGATTTTCTTCTCCACAGTGCGTAGATCAAGCACCCACTCCAGAAACCTATGCCACATATAAGAAGTCATTTCCCACTGTTAAAATCTTTTTCAATTGTTAAAATCCTTGCAGTTTTGTTTTGCTTTTCCTTAGCAGAAGTGTACAGTAGCCTTTCTTTTTTAAGAAACAGATGCATCATTTTTTCAGTATACATATTATAATATATTTTTCTATAACCAGAAATTACTCACACAGCGCATGCTGCACAATCTTCAGTCTCGTTTGCACATAAATAAGCTTCAGATCCAGCTATAAAGTGAGGTAGGCTAAGAATGTCATCACATCTTTTTTTGAATTTTGACATCCATTCCACAAACAGCCTTAATACAAAGTACTCAAACACTATGAAGTATCAAATGCTTATAACAGAGTATTTTTACTTCCATTCTCCATAGAAAGAAGCAAAGCAACATAAACATCACTCAGCTAAACTGGACATTAGAACCAAGTTTTTAACCCTACAAATTCTTACAGTGAGTAGTTAAAGCTCTTAATAATGCTCTTCCTTTTCTACGATGAGCTAAAAAATTAAGCACGTTCCACACAAGTATTGTTAGTGAGTTCCACCTTGTGATAGTTTCTTGTTTCTGCTCTGAAAGGAAGTCTCCATTTATTTCAATTTTCTGAGATCTATCAATCCTTATTCTGGTGCTAAGGGTTTTGTGTTCATAGAATTAATTTGCATTTGTAGAGGTGTTAATCACCTCACAGCCACACATCATTCAGATCCATTTAAGCCTGTCCTGAAATTGCTTATACCTTATGTTGGATACACCAAAATTAATATTTAAAGCTGTCACAGCTTATACTTAGTACTGTCTGCCTGTGCTACCACATGAGCTCCTTAATTACAGCAGGAAATTATTAGGCAAGCCCAAAATCTTCTTGATAGAAATTAAAGAGAAAGAACCCCTTCATTTTAGTTTTAATATCAAGTACTTCCCATCAGCTTGTATGATCAAAGGTCCTCAAAACTGTAAACCGAATGCAAGTGAAGACTGACAGTTCTTCAGAGCAGAAGGGTAGACATGCAAGTAAACCTTTCAGTTTGTTAACTCTAAAAAGGGGCAAAAGCAGCACCTTAACTGGACAGTGCAACACATATCCTTGTCCTCCTTCACAAGAGCTGTTCCTTCCATGCCTGTCCAAGCTGGAACTTGCCTCTTGTCTGCTTGTGCTTGTTCACGTGACTTTCCACAGAGTCTGGCCCCAGTGCCAAGACTAACACTGCTAATACTTCCTTGACAGTGGCTCAAAATTCCTGTACAGTAGCACTCACCTTATTCACAGACACAATACTAGTAGATCAAGCCACCAGTGACTTCCTCCTCTATTCAACCACCCAGAGCAATACTACCTAAAGCTTTTAGTTCAAAGCATTCATTTTCCTGTTTGCGGCAATCCATCTGCAACATCATACCCCTGTACCTTTTTTATTAATAATGATGCCTCAGACCTTACACTTTTTTATTTACTAAAAAAATTGAATATCGTGTTAATGAAATTTGCCACTCAGGAACTCTGCCAGTAATGCCCAGTTCTGTTATCTTTTTTCAGCAGGAACAACTGGCACCTTGAGTCAATTCCCTGCCCATCCTGCAAATCTGCTAGATTCCACATACTACAGCTCAGTATTATCCCATACAAAGTCACACAAAATAGTTATCTAAGCCTAATGAACACTGACCCACTGCATTTCCTGTGTCTAAAAACAATATATGTCTAAATACATATATGAGGTTAGTCACTCCAGATCTAACTTTGGAAAATCCTCCTCTACACCAATTCTTTCCTCCAGCGTTTATTATGAAGTCAGGCCCCAGGAAGGGATCAGACTAATAAGCCTGCAGTAGGCCAGATCACTTTCTTGCTCTCTTCAAAGTCATCATCAGGTTTCATGCCCTTATTGCTTTCCAATCATAGAGTACCCTGATCTGTCTCAACATACAACTAAATATTTGTTGCCAGTCTGAAATTTCATACAGCAGTTCTCAACAGAGAGATGCAGATTAGCACCAACCTCTCTTGTATTATCCAACATCATCTGGCAGGGACACTTTGTGATGAAGATGACACTTTATTATCCCATTTTGCTATGAGCAGTTTAAAGTCATAATGCATACCCACAATTAAAACAAACCTTTAAGAAAACCACTGCTCATTGTTTTACACATACCAATACTAATTGTTGGTGCTAACCATAACAAGCATATTCCTTTTCAAACAATTGAAGGAGTTTGATTGACATGGCATGGAAAAAATACACAAAAACATTCATATAACTCTTCATTATTACAGCCAAATCCTTTTATTTTTCAAAGGAAAGACTATCTATACAAGGAAGCCAAGTAATTTAAAAGCAAAAAAAAAAAAAACAAAAAAACAACCCCACCAAAACACAGGTACTAAAGACAAATGCTGACTGTGCTTCAGAAAGATAATGCAATATAGAAATTATCTCACATTAAGTTTTAGGTTTCCCAAAGTTCAGTTAGCTGGAAATTGAGATGTATACATCCCAAGTAGTCATCCTTGGTAAATGAGTCAAAGAAGATCAATAACGGAAAATTCTTATATGTTTACATCAAAAGTTGCAAATAAATATGCATTCCTGCTCAATATACACCTATTAAACACACCTAAACATGGTACATGGGCACATTCTGTATATATTAGACTGATGTTATCTTCCCCACATGGAAGGCAGAGTTTACTTCAGAGACAAATAAATTCACCTTACCACAGAATTCAGACACCTAACATATATTAGAAGGCTTCCAAAAAACTTGATTAAAATTAAATACAACATTCCATGCCAAGTTCAGTCATGTCTTGGTCTTGAATGTTTTTGTTTTTTTGTTTGTTTGTTTGTTTTTTTAATGTTAAGATGTTTTGGCTACATACACGTTCCATTCTTTGGATGGACATCGGACATTTTCCATCTAAACAATGAAATACAAGACATAGGAAAGACAGGACAGGCCACTTCGGGCTGGTAAGGTTAACATCTCTATTTGAACAGCAAACAAAGAAGCAGTGTGTCTCTTTGTACTCCAGTGCAAATTTTCTTGATAACAACGATCTAGAGAACAGCAGGTACCACAAGTGATACTAATTAACTCTTTGTGAGATCATCAATATAAATTTTGTATTCATCAAAACTGTAAGTTATTTAACATGAAAACAGTGAACAATAGCAAAAAAGGCTACTTCCACTATCACGCTCAAGTTAAAATTCAGAAAAAAAAACACTGTTCCCTTGAAATTAAATCTCCCTTTTCACCTGCCAAACAGCACTCTTTAGTATACAAGCTTAAAAAGAAGAAATTCACAGAAATAAATTTAGGAGCGAAATTGGGATCTTTCAAAAGACAGGAAGTCCCTTGTGTTATTTTCACAAGTAAAAATCTTCCTACTTCCACTGCTCCATTTTAGGATGGTTAGTTTTCGTTCAGATTACTACAGATACAATCACTTGGAAAAAAAGTTCCACGTAGGAGAATGAAAGAGATGACTACAGTTACCGTTTTAAAAGTCTTCAAAACCCATACAGTTTGCTAACAAAGTAAGGAAATTGAACTACAGTGACAGCAGAATGATCCAGCTGCTATGGAATGAAGAGAAAGTCCCATTTCTCTCTGTTCTCCAGAAGGTTCAACATTTGGTGATTTCTTGAGTATTGTACCATCATTTTAAAGACAGCAATATTAGTTCAAAATATTTCCTCTCTTCAGCATGTCAATAGGTTGAGACTATTTAGTCCATTATCTCTGTATTAAATTTAAACTCTCTTCAAATTTGTCAGTACTAAGCATCTGTGCAGTGACAATCACACATCAGAAAGTACCATCTAGGAAAATACATTTGCCTAAACTCAAAGAAAATTTCTTTTGTGCCACTTCTACTCTTCATTTATTTATTTATTTATTTATTCCCATTTTTCTCTATAACATTCCTACACCTGGTAAATAAATTTTCTTGCTGTAAGAATTCTGTGTTCAGATAACTGCTGCATGCCATTAGAATCAGAGGAGCCTTTATTTCCACCCAGGCTATCGCATGAAAATCGTAAATCAGTCAAGTACCCTTAGCCCACAAACTAGCCCTGAAAAAATGCCAGCATTTGTTTTCCACTGATCGACTGAAGTTCTCTGTTCACAGACATAAAAACAAATGGTCTTGGCCATGCATGAAAACAGATGCATGCACACAAACTCTAGGAAGCTGAATTTTTCTGTTAATGTAAGCAGAAGTCAAATCTGAATTTTTAGCAGCTTGCTTCTAATCCTTTTCAGAAATAGACCCAATCAGAAAGTGGCAAAGTCTGCCCTGAGGCAGACCTCGAGTTTAAGGAATCTGGAAGGACAAGGGCTCCCCCAGTATCAGTATGATAGCTCAGTGTTCCAAGGACATCAATCTTCCTGAAACTGGTCCTTGTATTAAGACAATTTACCTGGATAGCCAAGCCCCTCACTTCTTTTAAACAAAGGGTCCTGTACTACTTCAGGGCAGTTCAGCATTATAGCTGCAGTGAAGGAGTCCCTTCTGATCCTTGGATCAAGGAGATAATCAGCAGAGACACCCTGAGGGTACCTTCAAGGCAGGGAGCTACATCAGCTGAACCCTGAGTTTCGTAAAGGTTTTGATGATTGTTAGAACTTGCTGCTCGAAGGATGAAATGAGAAGCACAAATTCAGGTGTGCAGTGTTAGATTTCAGACTAAATGCTAAGTCTAAAGCTGTGTAAACATTTGCTCTCTGGGAAGAATATACTACTATGCAGGGATTTCAAAAAGTTTTAATTCCTCTTTTTTCAAAGGTCCTTGTGCATGAGGGGGCATTTAGGCTAGATCTATTCAAAACTGACATGCTGGAAATAATGAAACTTTGCTATTCACATACTGCCCTTTCTCTTATATGTTTGCCCCTTACTATCTTACTCCTGAGCGTTAGATACTTCACATTATATTTATATAACAATGTCTGTATTTGTGCAAGCACCTACATATACATTATTTATATATGTATACACACACACGTACACATGTGAAAATGTGTATGAGTATCTATATAGGATATAAATACATACAAGTATATAATGGATAAAATGCATACTAAAATATTAGACTAATTCTGTGCATATTGAAATGAAAACATTAGAATAAGAATGAAAAAAATCACCTGTTTGGCAAGAAAATTCATTTTCTTTGAATAAATACCCAACAGATAAACTTCAGAAACAAAGTCACTCTGGTAAAAAAACGAAGAGTCTCCTTTAAATACGAATTACTTATTCACAGCTGATAGCAATCAGTATATCTGTTTCTTTGTTGTTACCATATCATGCAGAAGACCTTTCACCAGATACAAGAGTCACAAGGAGACTTTATGACACCTTAGTCTTTTGCTTTAGAGAAAATTAAAACATCACTTTATCAATCTATTTCATAACCAGTAAATCTGGAATTTGAAATGACAAAGCTACATCTTCAATATCTTGTGGAAATCTCATACCTTCGGGTCCCATATTTTATCTTCAGCTTGCAAATGAACACTAATTGATTTAAAACAAATACATAGTTTTCCAGACTTACATTGACTTTGAAGCTTTGTATTGAGCCATCCAAAAAGTGAACGTTACAGGTTATCTCTGATCGAGTTTTCTCTTTTGGTAGTTCTGATGCTCGTATGTTATTTATCCTCCCACCTAAGGCTCGTAAACGGGAGTTCATAACTATTGCTGAATAACCTGTAAAACAAAAAATACATTAAATATCAGTTCTTACAATTCACTTATGTTTCATCAACAGCCTTCAGAGAAACACAACAACATAAAGGCCTTATTACAATCCAACTGCTTAAGAGTAACAAAAGCTTCTTATACAAGAAAATGAATTGTAAATAACAGCAGGGTCTAAACCAGAACATAAATAAGTACTGAGATTTCCATGCTCCAAATCTACTTATGATTTTGTTAAATATATTAATTACTGCAATGTATCCTTAAGTTAGACCTGGGCCATTGCCTTAGTCTGAAAACAAACAAAAAAAAACAAAAAAAGGAAGTCAATATTTTAGAGCCTACCATATGTAAATTCATGAAGACAAAACTACATCCAAGAAAAACTCAAAAATATATTTTCAAATTTTTCTTGGAAAAATCTCCAAGAAGATTTGTACAATCTCTGAAAACAAGTGTTTCTAAAACAGCAAAATATATATTTATGATAATAATAATAATAATTAAAAATAAACTATTCACCAAAAGAGCTAACATAAACACAGTCAAGCCTGTAAACATTTCAAGCCTCTCTCCACTAGATCAATTTACCAATTAACATCAGAACATACAAAGCCAGGTGGCAAGTGAAGCTGAGGATAGTTTTCCAGGTTAGTTACCACACCAATTACCGAATCATACCTCACTTATTAGAGGCTAGCTACAAAAAGACTTGCATAATGCGAGCGTTTCCTAGACAGCTGGCCAAGCCAGACAGGAGCAAGGTCAGGACTATTTTGAAATATACCCCTTCTTCTCTGCCTAACTTAAAAACATAGCAAGTTTATTTTTTTCATTTGTTTAAAAAGCTGAAGAAACTGAAGCTTTCAAAATAAAATTCTGAAACATCATTCCTATTCCCCTTATCCCTATATAAAAAAACAAACAAACAAAACAAAAAAAAAAAAAAAAAAAAAAAAAGAACCATGAAATGCATGAAGAGCCATGAGAAACAAAATATTAGAGTACCGAAGACTATAAAAAGCAAAACAGTGAATGGTCAATCAATTCATAGTTTGCTACTTTCTAAACTAAAACCATATTTATATTGCTAAGACTGATTCATCCAGCCAGCCCATTGCCTTTTTTCCCCCACTGGAACATTAACAATATTTTCTTCTTACTCTTTTCCAAACACACATTCTTTTGTTGCTTTAAGGAAGGAAAAAAGAGGTGATCCCTAGATGAATTCTGAACATGATTTTCATATAAAGCACTACATACTCCTACTACTCTGAAATTCTTGTTCTTGATATACAATCTGCATTTACACATAGCACATTAATATTTTATTTTTTTCTACCCAGGTCTTATTAAAGGAATAGTTGCTAAAGAAAACACACAGTTACCTAATTATCAAGGGCATCCAAAGAGATGAAAATGCTAAGAATGCATTGTTCCTAACAGTTACATTTTCAACTACTTATTCACCACTGAGTTCATCCTTTACCAAAAAGCCAGGTGACTATATGAATTATACTGCAGTCTTTTCTCCCTTTTGCACTCCTAGAGGTCAAGAACATCTCACTGCAGAAAGTGACAGACCACTGTCACTACCTGCCAGGCCACTGATTGGTAAGAGAAGAAAATTATTTCCTGGGGCTAGCCACAAGATGAGGAAACAGCTTTTTCTAGACTGGTGCAAACCTTGGCCAGCTGGCAGAGGGCAGCCTCATGCTCTGCCCTTGAGGGCTCAGCCTGCACTGTGAATACCTGTGCTCAATCAAGCTTACACACTCTCCCACTCTTGGGAAAATCCCATCTGACCCTCTCACTTCCCTGCATATTTATTTAATCTCTATACAAAATTCAGCCACTGCTCCACTGCCTACAGAATACTTCCTAAATTCAATTCTAGGTTTCTGTTGAATACTAGCAAACGATAACTGGAATTTCACATTAAATCTGTTTGCAACAAGAACAAAGTTCCATTTGGAAAGTTTTCACAAATTTTTAATTTTTGATTAAATAGTATTTTTTGATGCTACTAGAGAGAACACGCAATATGCATCTGCAGAATTTCTATGGCTCTCCTCCAGCAAGTCAGAAGTACTCTTTTCCAAGCCACAAACCTGTTAATCCGTCTCCAAGAACCAGTGGAAGTTGGCCAAGTGCTAATAGTAACACTTCCTCAGTATACTGCTACTTGTCACAAAATCTGAGAGGTGCCTTACTGTAGGCTAAAGTTAGTTTGTTTTCTTACAATAGCTCTTCACAGTTGGGGCTGGATGCCCAACTGGGAAATTTATCACAAGAAAAGTAAACCTTCTAGAGAGACTGATTTGCAAAGAGCATGCAAAAGAAAATTTAGAATTCCTTTTTTCCTTTTTGTCCCCCCCCACTCCCCAGTTTGATCTAAAGGGACATCACTAAGACAGTTGGAGCTCCCAGACTGTGCCTACAACATGCACAGATCATCACAGGGCATCAGCCCTGCCCACAACAGGAAGTTCAAACTATATGGTCTTCAGAGAACCTTTCAACCCAAGTCATTCTGCAATTCTATGAACAATGCAGCTGCTTTGGGACAGAGACAGGGTCCCTGTGCTGACAGACAAGCGTAGCCATACTCTGAACACCTGCAGGCAGCACCCAGCCCCAAGCTGCCAAGGGCAGCCATTACATGCAAATCCTAGCTTCCCTTTTGTAGCTTCTGTGGGATGTTAATTCCCAAAAAATGGGAACAAAACAAGATGCATCTGAAAATTATCAATAAAACTATAGTCTTATTGATAACTCTTATTATCAATAAGAGAATAGTTTCACATGTATATACCTCTTACTAAAATGAGCATGTCAAATTCAGGAAGTTGAGTAATAATTTAAAAAAAAAAAAAAAAAAGAAAAAAAAAAAAGAAACCAAAACAGAATAAACAACCTCCAAACAAAGTTGTTTTCATACTGAAGTATAAAACCAAACACATAGAACTCCATCCCATAATCAAATTTTGCAATAAGCTCACAGGAACAAAAAACTTAACCACAGAAAGAGGTTAATGTTTTCCAAGCACATTAAATGCATTTCTGAACAAGTTTGGTTATGCGTGGCTTCCCCAAGAATTAAGCTGCAGCCAAGCGGAACGAAAATAATGTGTTTTCTTTCACTTTTGTATTGAAGACCGACTTTTTAAAGAGGCCTTTTCCATTTCCGCTTTTCATGTCTTTGCAACTCACTTAGGAACTATTGGTAAAGAAACTTATGAGCCAATTCTCAGCATAACTATCGTTAGCATGTTTGCTACCAACAAATTAAATCAAGAACAGCTTTTCTGCTTATATTCTTTTCGACCTTCTACGTAGAATCACATGACACAACTACAAACTCCTGAAAAATACAATAATCATCATTCATTCAACAGAACCATTATGTAAATGGAGATGTACATATGCACATATGTTTTCTTCCTCCTCTGAAAGAGACTGCTGTCCTCTAAGCATTCTCATATTTTCTTTAGAATCACACCTGAAAACTCATGGTTCTGTGTTGGTCTACTGAAAATTCCAATACTACAGAGCATGGGAATGTCATTTATGAAAAGTTAGCACTACTCATTCTGGAGGACTGAATTTGAGGAACGGGAAGGGCAGAAACGCAAATGTGGGTGGAAAATGGCAAAAAATGGGCAATTTGGGGCTTAAAAAGGCCAAAATGGGCAATTTTGGGGTTAGGAGAACCAAAAATGGGCAATTTGGGGTTCAGAAGGGCCGAAAATGAGCATTTCGGGGTTCAGAAGGGCCGAAATGGGCATTACTTGCATTATCTGAGTAACCTCAACTAAAAATGAGTATTTTAATTACAAAGTCCTGTACAACATTTCAGTAAGGGTTACATTTTATGGCTACCTGTTGCTTTATTCAAAACATATGAAATAAAATCATAGAACGTGTTGAGCTGGAAGAGACCTAAAACGATTGTGGAGTTCAACTCCTGGCTCCACACAGGGTTACTCAAAACTGAAACCTTATATCTGAGAGCGTGGTCGAGATGCTCCTTCAGCTCCAGTAATTTGGTGCCACAACCACTGCCCTGTGGAGCCTGTTTCATGCTCACCACCTTTAGTGAGCCTTTTCCAAACACCCAACCTCCACACCCCTCCAATGAACAATGAATACCCCCACTCCATGTTGTACACCCTGAATTTTGGAGAAAAAAAAAAAACAACATGACTGGGAATACAAAGACAGGTAACACATTTAAGATGTCTTTGTACCGATTTATAGCCCTACAAAAACAACATAAATGGGCTTTATCATGCAAAAGCTTTCCCTGTTTACTGACTGAAATGACCTCCCAAATAATCATCACAAAAAACAACCCTAAAAATCCAATTTATAAACCACACTCTGACTCTTCCTCCCATACACTGAAGTATTATTTACACATTTTGAAGCCATATCTATCACCAATGCTTTTTAATGAGGGTTAGATCATTAAGCCAGCTTTCCTGAATGGAAGCCTGAAATTTAACTAAACATCCATGAAAACAAGTTTCTCTTTTCACCTTCTACAGAGACAACTCACCTTTTTCACATTACCAATATGAAAGTACGTCTCACCATTAACTTAAAATGCAGCTCTAATGCCTCATAAGAAAATCCCACTAAATATTTAACCACAATGTAATATTTGCAAGTTTTCGCTCAAATTAAAAGGGCATTTCTAAAGCCACAAGCAAAGTAAAAAGATAAGCTCATTTTGAGCAATGCACACGGGTTATCACTAACTCCTTAACTATAGTTATTTCTCACAGATTTTGCCTGACAAACTTTGCTCAGAAGTCACACAGAAAGGCATCTGGGAAGCCATTAGTATCAGGTGGTAAAACTTGCATCACTAGAGAGAAAAATCAACTAAACCATAAATACAGAACATCTATGAAATATAAAAGCACAAAAGCTTCAGATGAAGAAACATTGAAGCTTATGGTATAAAAATACCTCCAGATTAAGATATAAAGCATTAGAGGATC